TTAGTAATTACTCGTATATTTGGCATCAAAAAAAACCTACGCCCCCTTTTCTTAAGTCTTTCATCCTTCCTTAAGATTTTCAGTACAGTTTATACACTGTAATCATAAAGAAAATTTTGTAAAAGAAGAATATCTTTCTTCTTTCATTTGTTTTATTGTTTCTGCTTTATACTAGCTGATTAAGGGGAAAGAGGAGATAGGCGGAGAAGTAGGCGGAGGAGGAGACAGAGAAGGGTAGGATAAGTGTAAGAATAAGAAGAAAGGAAAGAATTAAAAGTAGAAGAGGTTAGAAACAATTTCAAAAGTGTTACATCTCTTATAAGCTTAAGCGTCTTTATGCCTCTTACATCAAAATGCATTTTGATTGCGTTAAATCCTCTTTTATGTGTTTCTTACGTCGATTAACAAAGCATTTGTTCTTTCTTTCCTCTCTTTTTTTATCAATTTATCGTAGTATGGCGTAAAAGATTATTTAGTTTATTCTTATGTTATTTTTTAATCTATCATTTCCCTCCATTCCCCTTCTATAACATAGAAACATATAGTATTTAGTCAGTTTGCTCTTCGATTCTCTCTACGATATCTGTTTTTCTATTATATATCTTTGTTATGTTTTCTTTATTATAAGTAATAGATTATTATTGTAGACGGAAAATTATTGGGAAAACAATTGCGAAAATGAAACTATTGCCCTCAATTGGTTGGAGATTAAGAAATTATATTCGTTTCTGTGATTTATTAGTCTTCTAAATTGCGTTACCTTTCACTCTACTTCTCTTTCATTCGCTTTAGCCCTTCTGTTCTTTTTTCTTTCTATTTAGCTCTCTTGTTCCTATTCATTCTTCTCCCTCCCCCTTTTTCTTCCTTCATGTAATTATCTATTATACATGGAAAATTCACCGACTGTTCTCCATAGACGTCCAGTCGAAGTTACGTAATATATCCGTCGACGCCCATCGTGTGCGGTACATAAAATTCGCATTCATCTCAAGAATTGTAAATCAAATTTGACGCGGCTGCCAACTTAAGCTCTTAAGCGTCTAATATTTGACGCCTTTAGACGCTTATCGCACAAGCTATTATTCCGCCTATTGAATTGAGAGTGTTTACGTAGAGGATTTTAGGAGGGATACCCGTAACTAAAAATGGTGTCACCTAGGCTTATTAGGCGCCTGGTTGCTAGGGAAGTAGAGGCGTCTTTGAAGTGGTCGCTAATGAAAAGGGGATTGCGTTAGACTGTAGATTTTTTCAAACGACTCTCTCCGGCTAATCCGGTGTTTGAGCCATAATTAGAGCGGCCCCACGAAAACAATGGAGCGTCACGAGCCGGAAACACCGTCGCCGGCGTCTAAAGTGGCCTTTCGTGTGCTAACCGACGATGCGTGAACAGCCATGAACGCGATTTTTCGATTTTTCAGTCGGTGAAAAAGGGCGTCGGCGACACTAAGCGATCAAGCGTGGAGACGCCTCCCCCTGCAGGGTGCAGCGTGGAAAATTAAACGGCAAGTTGATGAGGAGCTATAAATGTGCCGTCCGTTGAGTCGTTTGTCAGGGGCGTCGATTCAACAACCAGTGACGCTCAACGACGGCTGCTGACACTTTCCAGGCTGTGCGAAACGACGATACGGCGTCTCTGGGGTGTCTTAATTCCGAGCCGTCTACATCACTCTTTGTCGGTCTCTCAAGTGCTGCTTGATTATGCTTAAAGAATAAATTATCAGCTTGTACGAAATGCACTCACAAGAATGAGCCTAATATTTAAAACCCTTATAGCCTTAATTAGTATTACCTTTCAATTTAATAAAGAATAGAAGCAACCACTAATTAAGGGTATTTTTTTATGTTAAAAAATGGCCGTCAGCAACGAACGCATCCTTAGTTCCCCATATCGGGTTATTAATCCGCCTATTCTAAATTTTCATAGGGAAAATGGAGAGAAAAAGGAACCCATTGAGACTACGGATTATAGTTTTATAAGCAGAGTAGCAGAATATAGTTTTTAGTTAAGGGTTTATATAATTTACAGCAAAGTAGCGCAAAAGGAGAGCAAAAAAGGAAAATGGAGAAAGAGATGGAAAAGTCGTTAGTATATTAAACCTATGAATAAAGAAGTATATGGTAACTGCAATAGTTGCTGTCTAGACAGTAAAAACATACTTTTTTTAATGCGTACTATAGTTATAAGATATTGAAAAATTGTAATGTTTATTATAATTCATTTAAAATGAATTTACTTGAATAAGAAATATCCCTTTAATTCTTTCTATTGCTAATTGCAGACTATTTAAAACATATTTACGTATTTATGTTATTGCCCATTTTGCAGTTGCGTAATAAATTCTATCAACACGATTTTTAGATAATACATACTACTTTGACATTTTCGGGATAAATAGATAACTTTTAAATATTCATTACAACACAATTCGCGTATAATCCTCTATATGAATATTAATAAGGTCAATGTAATAAAGACAATACACGTTAATTTAATAACTTAATCTCTTTTTTGAATAAAGTTAAGAAATGTCACTCGAATAAGAGCTACATATTATATATTTATTTATAAGTAGATGAATTCATTAATAATTCTTTATGAGGAATTTTCTATAAGGTTAAAAGGAAATTAATATATTAAATACATTCTCATATTCAATTTTTATTTAAATTTTTATGCTCCTACACACCCTACTACTCCTCCTACTCCTCCTCCCTCTTCCTATACCATAAACCTTCACCTTTTACAACCCTAAAAACCTCCTCTTTTCTCTTTTCTAACACCCTTTTCGCACCCCCTTTTTTTCCAATTTTCCCAACGACAAAAGCAAAGAAATGTTAAATTCTTATAATTAAAATATTTTCATTTTCCTAGTTTCTTATTTTTCTCTCTACCCTCCCCTCTCCCCGCCTGTTCATCATCTCATATCCTCCTCCTGAGTCTTGTGGAAAATCCTTGCTAATACTTTTTTACAGTACCTTCAATTGAATTTATTTTCAACAATTAGGAATGTAACTATGGCAATTGTATGTAAACTGTGGGATGTATTAGATATGTACAGTATATTTAACGCATGCATTTACTGAATATACTGTACATAAGAATATACGCACTCACATTTACTGTACTAGATATTGGTTTACTTATTAGTATGTATTCATAAATTTTTCGTTCATGATTTTCATATAGAATTCATAGGGGAAATATAATTAATTACTTCATTAATGGAAATTATCGATTAGTTATCTGTATGAACATATCCCTTTTTGAACCTTATTAATATTGTCTTACAGTATGTTTATCTGATCAACACCATAACAATACGATGTTCTTTTTACTTCAGGCAAAGTATAGACCATAAAATGCATATTTATGGATATTCTCTTGTAGTATGTCTTATATTAAGAAACTAAAGAAATTGTAACGTTTGACAGTTTAATTATATTATTCATTCAGTTCATTCTCTTCCTCCTTTTATGAAATTGAAAAACTCGTTCGAACGAGATTTATAAAACAGTTATTAGACGGCATTTGTCCAAAATAGAGACACACATTTCGGTACAGTTATAGCGACGTTTTAGCTTTAACAAATCGTGTTTTCCGCCCGAGAGCGTCGATTGTTGCCAGAGACGCTTTTAAAGCGAAATGAAACGCCGATTCATCAGGCCAAATTAAGTATACGCAACGTTTTACGCTAATCGTTTCTTATATAATCAGCTTAAAAATCCAGCGTAAATCGCAACGCTTCTCTAGGAAATTAGAGAGACGCTCGCCCAGCACTTAATCAGCTAATGATAAGGTGCGTTTAGACGCCACAGATGTGCTGGCAATTTCAGCTTATTCTTTAGGATTTTTTTAATCTAAACACGCATCCGGTGATAATTTTTCGAGTGCTAGACGCTCTTACGTAATTTTCACAGTTGTTTGCCGAAGGTAAGCTGTTGTGTTCGCGCGTGGATGCGCGTGTATCTATATATATACGCTACAGCATTTCTTTTTACATTACCACCTGCAAAAAATATTGCTAGGGCCATTAGCCCAACATGCACCTATTAAGGGTATAGGAACGGTATAAAGTAGCCCAGATCCTCTTTTATTATTTGTTACAATCGATATGCCATTAGGATTAGTCGGATCGTGTTGCGGTTTAGTCATATATTTTTTCGTCCATAAATCTAGGGCAAGGCAATATTTTCATTTAATTCTTATTTGACGCTCCTGTTGATATAAAACCTAGGTAAAAATATTAGTTCACCGAGAAACGAAATAATAGAAGAAATAATAAGAAAACAAAATTGTAAGGAAAGCGTTTAAGTAACACTTTCTACCTTATTCCATTCAACTAGAAAAGAGACGCCTTATTTTTATTAATTACTCTTCTAAATTAATATAATTATATATTCTGCGTCTTTTTGAATCTTTTTTTTTTAATTATCATTAATGAACTAAAAACTAGAAAAAGAAAATACAACAATAGCCCATTTTCCTTTAAATAGAACTCACGAAATGGCAAATTACAAAGAGATGTGAAAAATAAACTTTTCTACAAACGACAGATGGCGTATATTGTCGGACAATTTTTACCTTGTTCGACTTCTCTCCCTTGTCTTTTTTCAGATACAGTCGTTTGTAGCTATTTTGGGCAAACTGTTGTTAAAATGTAATAAAATATATAGAAGAACATCAATATTACAATAAAACTCCCAATAATAATGAATGGAATCGACTCTTCCATTCGAATAGTCAATAAAGCGCATAGAAATTGCAGACAATCAACCGCAAATTCGAATTTCAATACTCGTTAAGAATTAGCTGTTAGAAGACATACAGATATCTTTTATGTAACTATTAATTTAAGAAGCGTTCGGCTATATTCAATATTCAATTCATTTGTTGTTTAATAGTTAATCTTAATATATTGATCATTAAAATTTTAAAAGACCAATAGTCAGCACAAACAAATATATTTAAATTTCTATTTTACTATATAAAAATATACAAAGTTGTCTATGAATGAATATCTTTATAAAAAAAGACAAACGAACGACAATACAATAACAACAACAACAACAACAGCAACAACAACAAAACACTACGAATAATTATGTTAATTAATTAATTGGGTTTAGTTCTACTTTTGAAGATTTTCAAATTAGTTTGTTAACTTAATTATCATTTCCAAATTGAAAGTATATTCATCTCAATAAAAGACGGATTATGATGTTATTAGCTCTAACATGTTATCTTAATAATGATTGATGAAAATAATGAATAGAAAAGATAAAGATTATATATATTGTAATATTTAGATTATTATACTACACTTGTTATTTTTTTAACGATAATGAAAGAATTCGTGATATATGAAATAGATTAAACAGATTGTCTATCATTTAGGAGGATCATCTACATTTGCATAGATGAAGAGAAATCTTCAATAAAAGATAATTTGGTGATTCTCTCCGCCATCGTTAGTGTGTATTCTTATTTTAAATAGACTCAAATCTATCGTGTTTCTCACATTATTTAAAAACTGGCAGAGTAAAATTGTTAACTATTGAAAATAGAATTGAAAATTCATATTTCAGAAATACTTTTCATTGATTTTTAAAGATTTTGTAGTTAGTCAATTTATATCTATTTCACAAACTTCTGTTTCAATAGAAATATCTTGGAAATAGACAATATATTCTCCAATACTCGAAACTGTACAATTGAATAAGTTGAGTGTTGATAAACACTTTCCAACTTGATTATTTAATGGTTTTAACGATTGAACGAAAATATTATCCAATGTTTGATTTCTATTTGAAATCTTGAAATAATCAAATATAGTTTGTACTTTTATTTTAATCCCTAATTCGTTTCTTTTAAACGTAACGCATGTCTGTAAATTTCCATCAGTTAACTTTTTCACTTCATTATTGCATTTATTATTGGGAATTGTTTCAATTTTGGGAATAATTTCGTAGGTACACTTTAATTTACCTACTGAACATTTATTTATTCCGTCGTTTGTATCGCCTAACTCCATTTTCTTTAGGGGTAATCTATGCGGTAAGACAGAAATTTTTCCACTAAGATCAAATATAGGATCTTTATCATTGGCTATATCTGGATAGCAATCTAGCGAGGTGTCGTTAGCATCCTCGCATATTTGACTTATAAGACATTTACATATTCCATCTTCAGATATGAAACTAGTGTAATTTCCATTCCAGAAAGAAAATTTCACATAGTTATTAGAAGCTTTGTTATTAGAAAAGCGCATATTCTGTTCGCAGGTCCCAGCAGTTTTTAAAAGTTCATCCATATCGGAATCGTCAAAATATTCATATTTTGGAGTTAATACGAGGCTAAATGCAGTTTGAACTGCCGTTAACTGACTGAAACTTTCAAGATCGTTATCTAAGACAGTCATGACAGAAGTTCTTGTAACCATTTCACAATAAATTTGGGATGTAGCTCCTCCAACTCTAGGTTGAATATCATATATACCAGTTACGTAGTTGTTATGTTTAACAGCATCATAACAAGATTTATAAACAGCCGCTGAATGTATACAACATATTGAAAAGAATATCAGGGCTAAACGTAGAAAATCTTTCAAGTTTTTCATTTTTAAATATCTCCGTCTGGAAGAATTTCTGTGTACGTAATATTACCAGATGAACAATATACTTTTATAATAGTTATTTTACTTTGTATTGATATAATTGATAAATTGATCAGTAATATTTTCTAGTGAAACTTTATAGACTGAAATCTTTCTCTTTATTTGTGAGCATCTCGATTGTGCAAGAAGAATAAACAAGTGTATAGATTTCTGTTATAAAAATGAAAAATAATGGTAAGAATCAATATTTATACCTAAGCCTATCATCGAATCATTATTAATCTACTATATTCAGTAGAAGTTATACTGATTCACATAGAATCGGGTAGGAGAGCAGAAATGAAAAAGTATGTGATGATTCATACAAAAACAAGTCTCTTCACTGAAATCTTTAATCAAGTTATTTTTGAGAATTGTTAACATATAAGACGGATAAGAATTCTATCTCAATTATAGAATCATTCACAACAATCATCAGTTTTTGAATATTCACACTTCGATCATTTCAATCTAACTTAATGAGATTATTGTTTTTTTGTTAAATTGATAGCCTTTAAAATGGTAAATTAAAAAAAAGAGAGATATCATAAACGTGAATAAAAATTATTAATTAACTTTAAAAATATATATTATTTTACATTTTTAGACGATTTTGCAACAAATAAACTAATTTAAATTATTTGAATAGTTAACTTTTTGCTTATTAAAAAACATATTAAGTTTTATTTTACTATTAAAATGAAACTTTAACAATCTAATAATATAGTTTTAGATGATATATTAGTGATATATTTAAAGAAATTATTTAAATTTCACCTAACATTCTCCAGTGAATAACCTATTTAAACTTGACTAATGATAATTATGAAATATATTCTTCTTTATAGTATTTTTATGTTCTTGTATGTTCAAGAGTTGCAGACGTTTAATTACGATAGATTTAATCTTTTTAATCCAGAAAAGAATGTTGATAATGACATTAATTCACTAAGAGAAAAAGTTCGTCGATCAAATGTAAGTTTTTCATCTTTCTATTACGTTCATTAGGTTTCTATTTATTTAAAAAATTATGTTTTTCACTTAGGAAAAAAAGGAATATATGTTGAAATCGTTGAAGTATAGAATGAAAAGAGGATGCTGCGATATGGATATCTTTTGTCTCGTTTCCGAAGGAGACTGTAAGAAAAGAAAATAACCCTAGTAAATGTTTTACCAATGTATTCTAATCAATAAACAATGCTACTTAAACTTAGTAATTTATAAATTTAAATTCAAAGACATGTAAATAGAGATAAAAAGATTATCTTCATTAACAGCTGTATTAGTGAATAGACAAGTTAATAATACATTTTTTTATATTCTATACAATACAAAAGTGTTTTGAAGAAATTTTCTCTTCAATTTCATGAGGCTATCCTCTCATTGGAACTCCTTCTCCATACATTCATAGGTAGAAAATCGTCTTATATAGAGAAATCAAACATATAGTTTTCTTTATTAGTCATATGGTCTTTTAAAATATCGTATACTTTTACGATTACCTTTCTTTTTCAGCGTTAATCAAATAGTCAAATATTATAAATGCGTGGGTGGAAAACAGTCTTTGAGACAATAGCGAAAATATCTTATGAATTTAATCAGTATAACTTTTCTGAAACCTACTTATTTTTAAGAAAAAACCAAAATAAAATAAATTCTTATTTTTGTATGGAAGTTACTAATTTCACATCTGAAGATAGAATATGTAGAGATGTTTCATCAGTCATTTTTACAGGGATGCTAACGATACTTCTGTAGATAGCTATTTAGATATAGCTAATGAAAAAGATCCTATATTTGATCTTAGTGGAAGGATTTCTGTCTTACAGCATAGATTACCCTTAAAGAAAATGGAGTTGGGCTTTACAAATGACAGAAAAATATTAAATAAGACAAAAGATCATTTTCATCAATATTTAAATATTTCATTGTTGTTCTATAATTTATATTTTTGCTCAAACTTACGATATGAATGTCATATATATATAAATATATATATATATATATATATATTGGCATATTATATCATCATTCATGTAATCTATAATGTTTATACTTCACTATGAAGATGTTTTGCTATATTTAACCAAAGTATGATTCGAAAGAGGGCAACACTGTATATGTTCATCAAAGAAATTAACATATAATAAGGTCAATTAAATGAATAAGAAGCTGAAAAAAACATAATGAAATGGCGAAAATCAATTACGATAATGTTGTATCACTTGACAATAGAAACATCATTAATATTCTAATGCTAATGGCGAAAGATTATTTATCTAATAAAATATAAGTTCTATTATTATCTTATTGCTAAAATTTTTTCATATTGAATTGTTAAATAGTCAAAAAAAATCGAACAAATAAGTTATAGAAATATCCCAAAAAGTGGTTGTTTTCTTTTGGTTTTAAATTGAACGTTAGTATGACACTTACTTAAAAATTAAATACATGAATATTAAACAGGTTTATAATAAATTATTAAAATTTATGCGATAGAACATTTTTTCATTGAGACAGACATTGAATTTTTTAAATTCCCTGTGCTCTAAGTTGTCAACACGCTCAGACACTACTATTCTAATTGTAATGAAAATATATACATATCATATGAGCATAGATTTCTTTTTATTATTAGTTCAATAAAATCATTTAATAATAAATAGGCCTTAGTAACCAATTGTTTTAAGTATGTTGTCTCTATGTGGTCTTTGTCGGTGAATGGTCTTTGAAAACATATTTCTATATACATATTTTTATGTTCAGATCAGATGTACTGCATTTGAACATTATTTAAAAACGAAGGATAAGATACGAGCATGGCGAAACGTATGAAAGGTAAAATGATTGAAAAAGTTTTAATCATCTCTTATCATAAAGTAATCTAATACGCTATTATTGCTAATTTAACCTTATAAAACATTCTATTAGATTCAAATATGCCTAAATCAGCAAGTTCCGTTCAATCAAGACTGAGAGGAAAGAGTAAATACTTTTTCTTTTAAAAAGTTTTCGTTTAATTGAATTCTTTATTTTAGGTTCAGAGGGAAATTCAAGAGATTTGAATGAAAAGAAAAGATTACTAAGTAATTTTGCATTATTTGTATTTCATATCTTTTTAAATCTTCTGTATTTAGCGTATAGATTTAAAATTAAATACAAATTAAAATTGTAGGAGCCGAGAAGATAAAATTGAAAGATTACGGTTTGTAAAGTCGCTAAATCATGTTACTTAAAGTATCAAATTCATTTCTATATATCTATATATATCGTCAAATATACAGAAGCGGAGATGGCAAATACAGTTTATCCAAGAAGAAAATCACGTTTGTATTTACATAATATAAAAAAATAACTTTATTCTTAAATTAATGATTATGAAAATGATTGTAATTTCTCTGTCTCTTGCCCTTCCTCATCCTCATTTTACTCCCTACCAACTCGCCCAATATATATATGTATATGAATAAAGAATTGGAAAAAGCAATAGCATCTTCGAAACGTGTGTATTCTAATTGATTTATCGTGATTATTCAATTAATACTCTTTCTATTTTTAAATATAATAGAATTAATTGGTTTGTATTATAGTATATCTACAAATACTGTATATAAAGCATATTAAGAATGTATATTATTGTATTTATCAAAAAAAATGTTGCATATTTATAACTCAAAGAAAAGTTAATAAAAGAAAGTGGCCAAGAAGGTTAATTTTTTAGATTAAAAGTTATCAATCACCCTAATCAATTCTAATATTCTTTATTTTTTGACTCTTTTTAAAATAGATGATAAAAAAAAGAAATCTAATTTGCAAGATAATCAAGTTACTAGAAGTAATAGGACAGAATTAAAAAGTTTGCTCTTTTTATCTATTTATATATATATATATATATATATATACAGCTAATTAAATTATTTATATTTATATCTATTTTTAGAAAAGGATATAAAGCTTAAATCTAAAGTCACTGATGTAAAGATAGTTGAAGAGAGAGAAGATACTATGAATAATTTTCCCAATGAAAATCAAGTCTTAACACTCGAAACTAGTTAATTATATTATATATTAAATTATTATTTACTTTTAATAACCTCTTTCTTCAGTTGAAGACCAAATTATTCCAATTTCCAGTAGTTTACAATCGGCGTGGTTCTTTTCTTCCGATTGTATAATTGATATGAAAGATTCAGGAAAATTCCGTCCAATTATTCAATTATATTTTTCAGACACTTGTATTCAATGATATTCCATAAATAACCATTTAATTAGAATTTAATATTAAGTTTAAATAGTAGTTTAAATAGTAAATTTGAATTCGAGTGTCTGCATTTTTATAGTTTTACACGAGCTTATCCATAGTTTGAATTTGGGGAAAATAGTATTTTTTCTAGATATTTTGGATGATAGGAAATTATTTGATAAAGAAATTAGCCAAATTAAAGAATCTATGCAAAGTGATAATCCAAATTTAACAAATGTTTGCCTAGTAGCTATGAAAGTATTAAATGGATGGAGAAATATCCCATTACCCGATCAAGAGAGAAATTGTTCAAAAGAGAATTATATATTGAACAAATTATGGCAATCATTAATTCTAATAGATGAAATTGAAATTGCCTATTGCTATTACAATGAATTTTTTAATGCAAATAGATGCTTGAACGAGCACATTCTCATCTCGGAAGTAGACGATAGTGGTATTGAATTCAATTTAATATTAAATAAGGAAGAAACAAACTGCAATGCAAATGGTTTAAAAATCAAAATTCCAGCTAAATCCGTGCTAAATAGCTTACTAATTGAAATAAAAATCAAGTCAAATAGTCTCGATATATTTCCAAATGACCTTATTCTAGAAAAAGTTGGATCTTTATCCTTTCCATTCAATGACGTCATAAATGAAAATATAAGTGCAAAAGATCTACCTAATTATATAGTTATTAAAAAATCAAATGTTGGATTCTTTTTCAAAAAGTTAAGCAATTTAAAAGGGATTTTTGATGAATATATTAAAATGATAACAAGTGGATTAAAAAGGAATATGTCTGGCGAAAGATTATATTTTATAGTTTGTATTGAAAAGATCAGTAATAACTTATTGGCTGGAAAGTTAATAGTAGCAAGTTCACTTGAAAATAATCAATTGCCAAACAATACTATTCATATAGAAGATCTAAATGAAATTTTCTTGATGAGTAAAAGCGAGATAATTGATATTTCATTGGAAATAAACGATGGATGGTCTGTTTGGAGGAAGACACCTTTAACAGTGAAAATTAGCTTATTAAATAGAGGATACCAAACAAAATCGCATTTTATATTAAAGAAAACCTTAGAGAATACAACAAATTGTACCTTAAAAATATTAGTAAACTTGAGAAAGAGTAAAAAGAATATAGAAGAAATAATTGATTTAGAGAAAAGATGCTTAAACGAACAATCTAATTACGCTCTAACACTAATTCAAAAGAAAGATGTTACGTTGAACGTAAAGAATGCTACATTGAATTTACCTTTCGATTGTCTATCGAAAAATGTTATACCAAGTATTTGTATATGGGAAGAAGAACAAAAGAAAAAGCACGAATGTAACGCTCTAGTTATACTATTAAAGAGTATTCCGAATGATGCACATTTTAAAAAATCGGCTAATCTATCTCTTAAGATGTCGAATAATTCACCGAAAATAATAACTAGCGTTAGTGGAGCGGTTGTTGATTATAAATGCGAAGAGAATAGTTGTGATATATCGTTAGAAATTAATAGCTTTAGTAAACTCACTATTAGAGATGGTATAGTTATTTTTGGACACGTTGTTGGTATACCATTAGAAAGTAATGGTACAATTATTGATATTTATTTAGCTAGGAAGAATATATTCGCTCCAAAGGTAAAGCGTTTACCGTATATTTCTTTTACGGTTTTATTAATATGTTCTTCTCTCTTCAGAGCAAATACGATAAATATTCTATAAGCGTTACTCTCGATTTACAAATTGATGATACAATACCAATGGATAGTGTAAGTCATATCTTCAAAGCTCGTTTAAAGAATAACGACGACGATGATTTCGGTAATAATATTGAAAGTTTTGAAAAAGTATGTCTATTGAAGGATCTTGTCGATGGTAAACAAAACAATACAAGTCTTACTATAATGAAAATAATTTGTTTTCCTTTTTAAATCAAGTTCCGGCTGGACCGACATTCTCTTGGAAACTTTATGATACTCAATTAGAAGATATTAATTATCAGTTTATCATTGATTATGGTAATGCCTGCGTAAGTTCTCAATTATTAAGATACAGATCGGAAGAGGATCAGAAGAAAGTCGAAGTGAAAAAGTACCTTCTTCTATGGGAATATTTAACAATTGATCTAAAGTATATAGGAAAAATATCATTGTGCCAATTGATTAGGGAAACAATTGCTAATAAAATGGAAAAGTTAATTTCCGGTTTTAATAGAACATTTAAAAACTTAAAAGAAATAACAATTGATGAAATTAAAGAATCTGTTTATCAATGGAATTTAAAAAGTGTTAATGAATTAATTAACGATATAGAGATTTTAGAATGTCAACAGGATCTTTTACAAGAGTTTGAATCATTAAAAATTAATACCTATGTTCAAATAATTAGAAATCTAAAAAGTAAGGAGAAAAACTATTTAGTTAAGTATATGCATGATAAATTGATCGATATTAAAGATACTAATTGGAAGATGTTATGTAAGTATTATATAATATTTATTCAATTGAAACGATAATCTATATATTTATTAATCGTTTTGTATTTCTTTTAGACGAGTCGAGATTAAAGAGAGGAAGCTTTTCTGATTAAGACAATTTATGCAATAAGGATATTATTAATACTTGATAATAAGTTTTCTATTCTCTCTAAAACGAAAACAAGATGGATTCAAATAAAAAGTACTACATCATCAACTTTTTGAGATAATAACAATTTATGTAAAAACATGGTTTTTACACTTTACAATACAATAATATTAATTTGGCACGTTTACAAAAACGATGATAATCGATAACTTTACAATCTTCGATATAAACTTTATTTGAATATTGAACAGTATTCTTTATTTTAACGTTTCTTCCGCTTCCGCAATGAAATTGTATTGCCGTTAAAATGTCTTGCATGTCTGTACCACCTAATTTATTTAGACAATCAACAAGTCTATTAACGTTCACATATTTTACACCCAAATTTTCGATTATGTATAAAGTTATTGTTAACTCTGAGTTAACCTTAAATTGTTCATGATAGAGAAGACTCTGATCGATATGTCTTCTATTTTGATAAGTTAGATTGAGTACAAATGTTCTTTTATTCGCTGATCTTTCCACGTTTAATAATTTCATTCTAACCAAATCATTGGGATTTCCGTATTCTCGAGATCTTTTCATACTTCCACTAAGTTTTAAATTCCTGTTGGTTCTTTCATTAGCTTGACAAACTTTACAAGTTTTTGGCGAAGCTAAATTATCTGGTGCTAATTGATAACAGGAAGGTAGGGAATACCCGTTCTCAAGAAGGAATCTTTCGTTGGTCTAGATTGTTTTAGTAAAAACTGGTCAAAGATAAGAAATTACTCAGTAGCTGAAACTACTCACAAAATTGGTTTCCCCAGAATAAACCGGATATTGAGACATCACTTTCTTTTCTTGTTTTGTACACGTGCTACAAAAAATACAGAGTGTTATCATACTTTAACCTAATTAAGAGTACTACCGAGAAATTTACAAAAAAGCTATGTGACATTATATATAGTATATATAAATACATAAATCTTTCTATCTCCCCTATCGTTGAATATTCAAAACACTTTAATTAATCGCAATCGTTATACGATAAAGTAATTAGAAAGATATAAAGAGAAATATTCAATTTCCTCTCGTACAACTTGCCTAGATGCAAGAAGCCCCTGGAAAATAGTTATAATCAGTCGGAAATTAGTTAAAGAATTTTTCCAACAGTAATGCTGATGCTGCAAAATTTTTTTTAAATATTTCCTTTTTTTTTAAGTATAAAAGTAAAAGAAATTAATTAAAAACTGACTATTACAGTTTGTTAATACTAAATTAGTATATTCATTATATATGTAAATTTATTCTAATACTTACAAATATGGAAACGAGCTAAACACAATTACATTATCATAATATTTAAATAATAATTAATTAGGTAATCTTACTAAAGTCTTAAGTTTATACTCGATTTAAACAAATGTATATTGTATATATAGATATATAAATAAAAGAATAATATAAAAAAAGTTCTTATCATAATTACAAATCAAAAAAAAAAAAGAAATTGTTACATTTTCAAATTATTCTAATATCTTTTAATTAACTAATTCAAATTTATTATATATTGGATAATTAATTGGAATAAATTAATTTTCTTTTAGTAAGTTTTATTAAAAAGTTTACTTTTTAACTCTTCTTCAAAATATATTCATAGAAAATTATTATTAAAACTTTCTATATATAATAAGATAATTAATTAACTAATTAATTATTCACTTTACCTCTTTACTTTAATAGATAATTATTAGATGACTTTAACAACTAGTCGATAAAGAAACCTCTTGACAGAAACATTCACGTGCTCAGCTATGCTGCGTGTGATCGAGTGCCTCCTAAAACGAACTTAAAAACTTGCAAGTCGTTTTAAACTGGGTCACAGCGTTGATTTCCTTAGGGACAAAGAAAGTATCCAATTATATATAATTCTAATTAGAGAGATTTATCAATTATCTTAAGATAGAGAAGTTATGATTAAAAATTTTGTGTGATATCTAACAAAAATATGTTTGTTTCCTTCATTTATTTAAGGTCAAGGATATATGTAAAGATTTCAAAAATATTAGTATCTGACCTATTCATGATAAGAAAATTTGTCGAATTTATTTGGTTGTGATCAAAGTGTCAAACGAATACTTGTCTATTATTGATATTATACATAAAACTATCTCTCCTCAACTATAAAGTCACAGTTGTTCAGGCTGATGTTATTTTTCTTTGTACCTCTTTGTTTGTTGATTATTGTTAGGGGCAAATAAATGGCCGATCTTTCCAACATTCGATATTTATTGTAATTTTCCAGAAATAAAACAATTCCCTTGCCAATTGATAAAGAATATTAGAATAGGAATATTAATAATTACGGTAACAAGCATTACTTTTTGAATTATAAATGAGTTTAAAACTAGTTTTACTCAGTACAACTCCTCCTCTACTCAAAAACTTTGGAATTGTTTTACTTTTACCTTATCTACAAACCTCTACTTAAAATTTTTCAAATCGATTGTATATAAACAAGTATCACTCTATTGATTGTAGAAAACAGGTGCAAACTACTCCGCGAACTAAAGTAGAAAAATACAGAAAAACACGATTTTTACAACCCTTTTTAAAGCTACTATGATACACAAATCAGTGTTTGCAAATAGTATTCAAAATATTCATACGCATACATCTATATACTGTATATATGCACAAGTTTAAAGCATATATCAAATAATCAACATATTTTTACTAGTTAAGTATTAATACATTCCCAAGTATTGGAGTTTCAGGAGATTAAAAGCAACAGGAACTACTATCTATTCACATAGTTTCTTTGTGGAAGTTTACAAATCATTTAACGCCTCTGATTTTTAATAAGCAAAGGTGTCAGATAAGATTGTTTGCTAGCTATATAGTGACAGAAAGAATAAGAATAATGACTACCATATTAGATCAAATTTTTCAGATTTAATTATGCTTGTTTGTTTCAGTTAACATAAACAAATATTCTAAAATCAGATATATTTTTTTTTTACATGTTATCCTACAAGCATAGCATAGTTATTGTTATGATTTATTTAAAGCTTACAATTTTAGAGATGCTCTTTCATCTTCTAAAGTCGCTGTCAGTTAAAAACACACCGTCTCTACCACTATCAGACCTATTCAATAGAGGATGAAATGACTCTTTTATAATGTATAGATAGAAAATAGTTGGCGTATAAAGCATTTGTTTTACCTAGAATATTTTGAACTTTCTCAATAGGAATTTATCAGTCAGCTTCAAATACGTTTTACAACTGCAAAAAGGGAAAAATTTAATTTCCCTGAAACCTCTATTTCATTTCAAGTGACAATATTTACATTAACAATTGACTATAAGGTCTTGTCTTTTAAACAGGACAAACAATTAGTTAATTTGCTTATCAATTATATACTTTACATGGCCTAGTAACAAAGATAGGATTGATATTAGCCTAATTTACATGAGAAATCTATTTCATAGTTATTGGTTAGGTTTCACTATTCACAAAGTACTTTTTGTGAAAATTGAAAAGGAAATTATGAAAGATTTACTAATTATTTTATTAAATGGTTTTAATTTGCTAGTTTTAACTTTCTATTCGAATCCCATCAAGTATATATTCATGGAATGAGATAGCAAAGCTGTTTATTTTAAAAATTTAAAGGAAAGATGATCATTATTTATTTAACTATCCAACTCTTCATTTGTATTGAGGCTACTATGTATTCTTCTTGCAGCGATGCTCTACTTAGAAATAATAAAGTTTCTAATTACTATATAATACAAATTGAGGAAAATAGTGTAGAATCTAAAGTTGAGTGTCTTATGGTTAATGATACACATTTTGAAATAATTATTGACAGTGATAAGAACTATCCAAATATAGTAAATAGCACTCAATTTGAAAATAATTATTCCTACCAAAAATATGTGAATTATCCAAACTTTACGGATTCGGAAATGGATAAAATACTTCAAGAAACTCTAGTTTGTTCTCAAGAAGCTAGCTTTAAAAGTTATTATTCTGCTTTGGAAAGTAACATGCTTGAATTTTGGGATGGATATAAGATTGAGTATAATAATAACACTGATGGAATTTGTAAATGTTTTATGAGAGAAGCTTGCATAATTTCCGGTGAATCAGTCACCAAATGTAAACAAGAAGTCAGTTCCTATGATCCATATTTTAATTATACAGGAGAGTTTTCAGTTTTTCCAAAACGCTTACCACTTAGAAAATTATATCTAGGTGATACTGGACATTCTTATGAAGCTATTGAATATTCAATCGGTAAACTCAAATGTCTTGGTCGTTTTAAAGAAAATAACAGTATCCTTTATGCAAATTTATCTCCGTATAGGTCATGTGCATTTTTTGCCAGTTACCTATACGACAATTCCAATTCAACTTGCGTTACCATAATTGGTTCCAATAATCATATAACTGCAAAGGGTAATGAAGTTATTAACTCCCTAGAGATTTTGGGCAAGAATATTAGTTGTTTAGAGATGATTGTCTCTATTCCAATCAACGGAAATAATAATATCATATGCCCTATCAAAGAGGGCAAAGAAAGTGATGAATGCACATTTAAATGTGACTATAATTTTACAACTGACGTCTTCATTCATTTCACATCTATGAAAGAATTTAAAATATGTGAAATTCGCGGAAAATTTCTAGAAACAGTTGAAGAATAAAAGTAAATACCTAGAATTTTAGAAGTCGTTTTCAACTTATTTTCACAAATTTAACGTCTTTAATAAACAATAAAATTGTATTATTCCTTTAAGCTGTATACATTTTGTCTTTATAGAGCTATAAGTGGACATCTTACGTAATTAATTACGAATACCACTAACATATTGTTACATTTTGTAGATAAAATGCAAATATTTCTTCGAAAATTGATATATAAAACGTTACATTTAATTAAAAATAGACAATCCAACATATGTGTGACTCCTTGAACTCAGTGGAAATGTTTATAAAAGAGTTGCTCTTTCGGATAGATTCTACCTTGTGTCAATATTGAAATTTTTTGGGGATTACTTTTATCATAAGTCTATTTTAATTAATTATAATTCTATTTTAATCTAAGACTTAACCGTTAGTAAAACAGTTAATTTAGCTAGTCTACTATTTGGGAATATAAGCAGGCAGATGTGTGGAACTTAAGGGTGTTAAGAGGTAAAAATAGGGCAACTGGGACTAGTTGTACAGGTGACAGACTGTTTATGAGAACTTATTGCATCATTTTATAACGAGTTAGTTAGGTGGTAAAGTTATTGCTTAAACAGAGTCAATTCTATCTTTAGTTTTTGTCTTCGTAAGTTGGTAACAGCTGAAATAGATTTCGTCATTGCTATGTGTTGAAGAAAGGGTGTATTTAAGTGTGAACAGCTTACTTATAAATCTATTTCAACATCAATAATTAGATAAGAAGTGGAACAGAAATCCATAAAACACGTAAACTACCCAGAGGCAACAAAGCTGTTGCTACCATCAAATGCCATATTAGCAATGAATAATCTCACAATCTTTAATTAAGCTATTCATATGTTATTATAGAATAGTTGTTTTAAACAACTATTAAATTAGCAATAGTATTTTCTTTATAGAAAATATCTTATGAAATTTAACCTTGAACAGTTCATAAGGAATTGAAATATCAAGTTTTCAGTATATTATACATTAGGATCGGTATGAGAGTTAGCTCCTCTTGCCTAACGTCCCTCATACTATGATAAAATTAACATATCATTACTGTTGGTGCGTTTCCGAGACAGGGTAGGGTGCTATCCACATGGAGTTTAGAGCTTCCAGAAAGAGAGATAATGAATTCTTATGAAATGATAGACAAGTTAAAGAGAAAGATACAGAGAAAGCCTCTCAGACTAATGACCAGTAAAAGGGTCAGATAACTTATATTAAATTGCCCTCCATTCATTTATTCCCATCTGTTAATTCTTTGTTTCAAAGATTGAATGAAACTACAAACGGCATTCATTATGAAGATATAATGATGGACTAATAAGCGTTGTGAAGCAATTTCTTTCAAGTCAAACACACCTTAATCCTTATCTCAAGGTATAAACCCCTATACAGGTGGCGCAGTTGTATAGACATTGGTTGAAATTTTGATGTTAAATAACTGTTTTCTAGATATAAAGGTTAACTTTGATATGTAATTTAGATTTTTTTAGTAATAGATATTATCTAAAGCTGAGCTAACTTAGACATGACCCTATTATATATAGTATAGAAATTATACCATATATTAAAGTATTCAAAATAGAAATAATATAATAATATATTCAAATTTTTCAATGAAATGTTAACAGTATTTTTAATTTCTTGTTTATTGAAATTGATACACTAACTTACCTCTCAAGAAGATAATGAAAAAAAAATGCCTAGTAAATTCTAGTCTTTGTTATATAACAAGTTAACCCAAACGTGAACAATGTCTTAATGATGTACAACTGATATTATCTAAATGACCTTTAACCCCAAGCTTTTGTAGACCATTTCTAGTCGCGTGTCTATAGTAACTAGTACACATCTACATCATTGTACCATATCTACGTAAAATATCTATTACATTACATTGTCTCACTGCCAGAGTAGATGAGAATATTCAAATAAAAGCCGTTGTTTAATACGATAGTGAAAAATTATAAATTAAAAATATCACATATTTCCCATAATAAGAATTATTAATTATAGTAAAATAAGTTGAAAAAATATGTAAACTTAGTATAAAATGAACATTTTTTTTTGACTATTAATTTTAATTATATAAAAAGAATTAATTAGAAAATTATGGCGAAAGTTTGTTAGAAAGAATTTCAAAGAAAAAGTTTAGTATTGAAAAATACGAATAAACAAGCTATACAATACTATTTTTTGAATATATAGCTGAACATTTTTTATCAAGGGATTTTAATATGAAGAATACTTTAGTTATATTTCTATTTTATGAAATATTTTTTATCATATCAAAGAAAGCTAAACTTAATCAACAGTGTAATGTTGCTCGATGTAAAATTGAAGAATGGTCAACTTGGAGCGCTTGTTCCGTTGCTTGCGGAGAAGCGGGAGTGAAAAGTAGGACAAGACAAATTTATGTACAAACGGGTTGTTTAAATGATATCTGTTCGGAGGAACGTTATGAAACTGTGCCGTGTAATGGATATTGTAGAAATTATAATTGGACAAACGGAAATTGTGATTGCGATTCCGGTTGGACAGGTAGATGCTGTAATATAGGTAAGAGAAAACTTCCTATTTTCTCTTTTATACAATTTGTGTTGCTCAATTTAGATATTGACGAATGTCTGCAAGATAATATGTGCCATCATATATGTCGCAATACTCGTGGATCGTATATTTGCGTATGTAACTCTGGTTTTGAAATGACTTCAACAGGAAGTTGTATAGGTAAATTTTACGCGTTACTTATAGTCACTGCATCATATTAATATTACTACTCATACGCAGATATTGATGAATGTTTATCAAACCCTTGTAGTCATACATGTAAAAATTTAAATGGAACATTTATATGTAACTGCCCAGAAGGTTACATCCTCGATTCGGATGAAAGAAACTGTTTTCCTAATAATACTATTCAAAAGTGCCCTGCGAATAATACCTGTGATCAGAATTGTATCAATAAAGAAAATGGTACTTATCAGTGTACGTGTAAACCTGGATTTTTTCAAGATGGAAAGTCAACCAATTGTTCAGGTAATAAAAGGAAACGAATTTTTATTCCCTCATTAAACTATATGGCATAGTTCATTATCAAATGTTTTTTTTTCTCGAGTAGACATTGATGAATGCCTTAATAAAACTCTAAATGAATGTCAACAAAAATGCATCAACCTCCCAGGATCGTATCAATGCGAGTGTGAAGAAGGCTATGAATCTGTCAACAACTCTAAATCCTGTTTTGATATTGATGAATGCAATAGAAAAATATCAAATTGTAGCCATTTGTGTAATAACATTAAAGGATCGTACGAATGCAGTTGTCCAAAGGGTTTCAGGTTGAAAAACGATGGAATAAATTGCGAAGGTAAAGTTGTAGCAAAATATTCAAAAGAGTTAATAACTAAAGAGACATAATTCCAAATAGATGTGGATGAATGTAAGGATGTAAATGGAGGATGTACAGACAATTGCATCAACGTTATTGGGTCATATTTTTGCAGTTGTGCAAACAGCTCATTTTTATACTTGAATTCTACTTGTTCAAGTAAATTTTAGCTTTTCTTTATAGCTTTCTTTATTTTTAAAATATTTACTTGATCACTAGATTCAGGAACAGAAACGCCAAAAGCGAATAAGGAAAACTCAACTAAACTGGAAGCGTATTTTATTGTTATTCTATGTTTTATAATATTTATTGGTGTTGGAATTTGTTTTATTTCAATAATTTGCTATAAAAGGAAGAAAATGCCTGATAGGTGTGTTTCAAATATCTTCATCTATTTCTCAAGTAAAATTGATAAAATTTTTCATCAGTAATCGACAATCACCAACAAGCGCTCCACCTCCCGACTACACACTCTCCACTATATCATCACCATCAAATATTCCAATAGGCGAGAACCCACCATGTAAGTAGAACGATTCGCCGATATTATTTATTATATAAATATTATCATTAGCTAACATTTATTTTTTCAGCCTACGATTCAATATTTTTCGACAATCCTCCATCTTCGCAAAATGTTTAAATGGCTAAAAAAAAAAAAGAAAAGAGAGAAAGAAGTTTGTTTTTACAAAAAAAAAAACAAAAGAGAAAAAAGTTTTTATTGTTAAAATTTGTAAATGAAACTGATGTTAATAAAGATAATAAGTTTAGAGAACTATATTTCCGTTAAAAATAGATTTACTTGTAGTTATAAAAATAACTTCTTATACTGTATATATCATTTAAAACACCTATTGATCTATGTTCAATATAGGTATAAGATTAACATAAATAAAAAACAATGGATTATAGATTGATAAAAGGAGAAATTTTTCTTCCTTAATATTTTACTATTATATATTATAAATACCTTAATATTCTTGTAATCCACTCTCAACTGACGATCAAAAGAGTTTTATACTCTTGATAGCTAGTGTAATAATTTAGAAAAGGAAACTATAAGCTTACTTCACAGTATTTCTGTCTGGAAGAGTTATCTTCATTTGCGATTATACATTTGTTGGTAAAAGCTTTTCATGTATTCAATTTCTGTTACTCTACTATATATATTTTAGGTGAAGGAGCAACATCACAATAGGTGATTGTCGCTATTTACCGAAAAGAGATTACAAATGATTAATTTCCTTATTCTAGTTTTTGTGTGTTCCTTTAACATTGAAAATTTAAATGCTAATTGGTTCTTCAAAAAGGAAGACTGTTCTTCATTTGGAAATTGTTTATTAGGCGAATGGTCGTCATGGACCTTATGTTCCCAACCTTGCGGTGTACAAGGCACCACTAATCGTACCAGGCGAATAATCCAAAAGCCAAAATGCGGAGGATATCCATGTAAAGATACAACATATCAAGAAAAACCCTGCAATATAGATTGTGGAAAAGGTATACTGAAAAATGAGACTTGTGAATGTCCAACTGGATGGAAAGGGCCCTGCTGCAACAAAGGTATATAGAATTAATAGAATGAACAGCATTTCAGTAATTTACATGATGAATCGAAAAGATATTGACGAATGTAAAGAACCAAACAATTGCTCTCAAATTTGCGTTAATACACCTGGATCATACGAATGTGAATGTCGATCCGGTTATAAAAAGATTGATTTTTACACATGTTCAGGTAAATGATTGGATATATTCAAGCGTCTTATTAATGTTACAAAAATCTTCTCTTTAATTAATTAGACATCGATGAATGTTTTGAAAAGAAATGTTCACAAAATTGCACAAATACTATTGGATCATTTAATTGTTCTTGTACACCTCCGTCTATTCTATTATCAGATGAGACATCTTGCAGTGAATGTAAAGTTGATCACATGTGTTCACAGCACTGCATTGCTGGTAGACATAACTATCATTGTAAATGTTTTAATGGATATTTACAATCACTTAGAAATCCACATAACTGTCTTGGTAAGCAAAAAGTAATTTAATAAATAAGTAAATAATAATGATGTAATTGTGAAATTTTCTAGATTTTAATGAATGCAGACATCGAGATCTCAATAAATGCTCACAAATTTGCATAAATACACCTGGAGCATATAAATGTGAATGTAAACCTGGATATTTGTCGAAAAATGAAGGAAGACAATGTATAGACATTAATGAATGCGAGAGTTTAAATGTGCATTGCAGTTACTACTGTAATAATACACCAGGATCATATTTTTGTCACTGTCCGAATGGTTTAAAATTAAATTCGATAAATAAAGAAGATTGCGAAGGTATTTAGTTTTTAGCATTTTGTAATATTAAAAGTTTATGTTATCTTCTCGATAAGACATTAACGAATGTGAAGACAACAATGGAGGTTGTTCTTCTGCATGTATTAACACTTTTGGAAGTTATTTTTGTACTTGCGAAGAAAACTATTACATGACTGAAGAAAATGAATGTAAAAGTATGAATTATATAAAAATATTAATTAAAATATTCGATTTATGATAAAAATTATTTGAATAATTGATTAATTCTTTCTCTTATTTAAAGCTACGGAATATACACAAAGCTATTTGGAACTAAAGATACGTTTTCTTGTCTTTTTTTGTCTTTTTCTTTTGCTATGCGTAGTATTTGCTGTTACTATAATAATTCTGTGCAGAAAGATAAAATTGACAGATAGGGTTGGAAACAATTCGGGATTATCGTCAGTATTATACATTATATATAATATATACTAATATATAGTATTAAAAATATGTTCCTACTTAACTTTAGAAACGGCCGAATAGCAGCTTCTGCAAATCAAACTTGCTCTCAGATTTCAAGTTATGATGAAAATGTCAGAAAATCAACTCACAGCCATATCTACTCCAATGAAGCTTGCTCTTATGATAACGCTTTTAATATGTATTAAAAAAAACTATATGTTTACATCAATTCTACATAAAATACTGTAGAGCTTCTTGAAAAATACAGTCTATTAATTCCCTAAAGAGAAAAAACTATACGAGAGAGTTGAAATAGCGTTTCGAATGTTTAATAACAAATGATATGGGGAGATGAAAAAGTTGTATAATCCTCCATCAGATAGGGTTAATAGTGCTATTGAGAAGAAAATGGATCTAAATCAAACATGTAGTAGACAAACGTTCACCGCAACAATAAATTATGACGAATGTACAAAAATTTTGTCATCTTATGAAACAGTATTTTACTTTATTCAATCTGACATTCTTTCATGTCAATAAAAATGTTTCATTCATCAAATGTTTCGTAATCTTCGTTACGCTGATCTCGATATTTAACAGACTAACAAAAAATGGTTTAACACTATATTTATTTCACTATAAATTTCTCTACCTATAACTAAGTTCCTTCGCTGTTTTTCCCTCTTTTAATTCCTGGTTTACAGCAAATAATAAAGTACATTATAAAGGGTTCTTTGACATTTTCTAAAGTATAAGTGATAAAAAACAGGAAGCATTCACATGTTCAAGTGATCAAAAATTTCAATTCCTTATTGATAAATGTTCTCTTTCACTCTAAAGTATTTTGTGAAACAACTTCATATATGAATTTTGCAGATATTATTTTATCAAAAGTTTTTATTCATATTTTTTATTTCTTTTCTCTGATTTAAAGCTAGTTGTGATAAAATGCTTTCTATCAGTCACGCTTGTAAGTTGCTTTTTTGTCATTATTTCTTACTTTTCGTTGAGGGGCTAAGAAAAACTGGTCAATGTGAAGTTCAACACTGCAAAGTTGAAGAGTGGAGCAGTTGGTCACAATGTTCTACAGTATGTAATAATGAAGGTAACACTACCAGAGTCAGAAAAGTGTCTGTTGAAGCATTTTGTGGAGGAACTGTCTGTCCTCCTCTAAGAGAAGTTCGACCGTGTCAGTCTTTATGCATACATGGAAATATCGAAGAAGAAGGCTTCTGCAAATGCAATCCAGGATGGATGGGAAACTGTTGTCATATAGGTAAGTCAATCAAAAATGTAATCATTTCATTGTAACAACTAATCAAATCTCAACTGTTTTGTTGTAGATATTGATGAATGTAACAAGACAACCACGTGTAAATACATATGCAAGAATACTGAAGGATCGTATCAATGTTTATGTCCTTCCGGTCACAAAACGGTAGGAAATGAGTGTATAGGTATAAACGCATACATTATCTCTTTTAATCATCCAATACATTACAATGTATTTGCTTCAATAAAGATATTGACGAGTGTTCATTGGACATGTGTGATCAACGCTGCAAGAACTCGATTGGTTCTTTTACTTGTAGTTGTGAAGAAGGATACAAGTTAACAGAAGATCTAGTGCATTGCGAAGAAGTCAACGATTGTTCAATAGATAATAAATGTCATCAATTGTGCATTAAGGATGAAAACAATGATGACAAATGCTTATGTAGATATGGATTCTATTATTCGAGTATAAAGCAGAAATGTTATGGTAAATATTCAATTGATGAGGAATAATTAGGATAATTTGTTATCTCTCTCTCTCTCTTTTAAATTCCAATTAATAAATTGCAGATATTGATGAGTGTTTGGCAAATGATAAAGTCTGTGATCACAATTGCACTAATACTGCTGGTTCCTTCATTTGTAAATGTAATGAAGGATATAAGACAATAAACAAAGGAAGAACTTGCCAGGATATAGATGAATGTAAGGAATTTGTAACAAATTGTCCATTTTTTTGTGAAAATACTCCTGGCTCATATAAATGTTCATGTCCAGTCGGTTTTCAGTTAGATCCATTTACTTCGAGATGTCAAGGTAAAATATATTCTTTTCCTCTGTCTCTCTCTCCCTCACTCGCTTTCTCTATGTGCAGTTGTATTATGAACAAGTTTATATTCTCTTTAGATATAGATGAATGCCAGACTGAAAGTCATGGCTGTGGGGATAGTTGCATCAATACTCATGGAAGTTTTCGCTGCACATGTAAAGACGGATTTAGTGCGGTGAATGGTACATGTAAAGAGGGTAATGGACAACAACTAATTAGTTGATTTTCATAAAAACAACTTACTTTTGCTTTCGTTTTCAGATAAAAAATTGCCAGTTGATGAAAATTCTGAACTGGATCTTAAATATATTATTTCAATAGTAGTATCGGTCTGCATTTTTCTGTTCCTGATTTTGTTAATCTATAAATTAGGAAAAAGACACGGAAGAAGAAATAAAAATGGAGCGAAAATAAGAAGAAATATGAAAAGAAAAAGGACAGTATCTGTAAAAATAGGGAGGAGAGAAAGAAACAAAGAAGGAATAAAAGAAATAGACGAAAATCAAATTGGCTATTTGAAAATTGTGTCATTACAGCAATCACTACCTCCAGTACCACCATTGCCTCTAGAACAACCAGTACCATCAGAAGCTAATATTACGAGAACAAATACAATAAAGGTTGTCTTTGAAAAAGATGATAATTAGAAAACACTATAATATTTATTTAATTTTTGAGCCGAAAGTAAGAATCTGTCTTGTTATTGATTTTTCCATCTCTTTATAAATAAATGCATTATCATTTTTAATGGTGGGCTATCATATAGAACATTTAATGATTCGCTTTTTATCATTAATTGACCGAAATATAGAAATCATACCAGCCTGTAATACAATAATTACAATAAATATTCTAATTTGTCTTTCTAAGTAATAGCTCTTTGACAATTTGCAAAATGATTTATTTTATTAATAAAAAGATTTGATTTAACAGCAAATTTTCTTCATTCTACGTTATTGACATTCTAGTTATTTCAAATTCTTATTACTTCTTACAGGAAAGTTATTTTCTACTAAAACTTCTCTTTCTATGGTGTAGTAATTTTGAAAAAGGATATAAATTCTTTATATTGAATGTGTATGCTTTTCAAATATTATATATATTTAAAAATATACATAATTATTACAGGATAGTATTCGTCATATAAAAATTCTAACCTTAGAAAGGAGATTGAAATGAAATGAAACTCTTCAATGTTTTTTGTGTCTTTCTCATGTTTCTTATGTTATTCTGCAAATGTCAATCCAGATGCCGGAAAAATCAATGGAGTCATTGGAGCATTTGTTCCAAACCGTGTGGTCCTAATAGTATAAAAACAAGAATTTGTAGAGTAATCTCTCACTGTACGAATAGGACAAACTGTCAGCGTCCAATGCAAACTGTCTTTTGCCCTAGCGAATGTTATAATGGTCATGCTATCACTAATAAATGCCAGTGTAAAGATGGATGGATGGGAGAATGCTGCAACAAAGGTAATTAATTAGCGTTAAACGTTATCAAACACAGAGTTTCCTACTAATCCTATTATCTGAACTTCAGATGTCAATGAATGTTTACAAAATAACAAACTTTGCAACCCAAATGTTTGTATAAATACAGTTGGAAGCTATAAATGTTCCTGTCATGCGGGATACGAAGAAGAGGATGGAGCTTGTACAGGTATTTACTGTTAATTAATAAACTATGATTCTGCAACACATTCTCTATTCAATCGTCTATTTTTTTGAATAGATATTGACGAATGTTCAGGGAACGTATGCGATCAAATCTGTACAAATACTGAAGGAAGTTACAAATGCTCATGTCGTGAAGGTTATCTTTTGAGTGATGATAATAGAAAATGTATTATTGGTAACATGTGTAAAAATAGTAACCACAACTGCGATCATATTTGCGTCAGTAAGCCTGACGGTAGCTATTCTTGTAAATGTAAATTGGGATATTACGAACAAAATAATTCTACAAAATGCTTAGGTTCAGTTCTAATTTCTTCATCCAAAATTTCTATCATTTTCATCACAATCATTCAATTTCCGTGTCTTCCAATAGATATCGACGAATGTTTGTTATCTTTACATAATTGTAATCAGCTATGCATAAATACTCCTGGATCGTATAAATGCAGTTGTAAATCTGGCTTTAAAACGAACAATAATGGTTTAAATTGCAGTGATATTGATGAATGTGCTGATATTTCCATACACTGCGACTATCAGTGTAAAAATACACCTGGTTCTTTTGAATGTTTATGTCCATCTGGCTTTAAACTTTTATCAGATAAGCGAACTTGTCAAGGTAAAGACGACATGTAATTTATTGAGAGATATATAACACATATTGAACATTACTGAATATAGATATCAATGAATGCAAAGAAAATTCAAACGTTTGTCAACATCAATGTAACAATTTAAATGGAACATACTATTGTTCATGTCAACCTGGCTATTACACTTCGTCATCCGGATGCGAAAGTTTCTATTTATTATGTTTAATTATGAATATTTTCTATTAAATGAACTACTTTCATTGCTCAAAAAGGCTATTAATGAAATAATATAAATGAATATATCTTTTTCAGAATTACCAGTAACAGAGAAAACTGAAAAAAAGACATCAGATTCTAAACTATCTACTGGTTATATGATATTGATAACTGGTGTTACTATTTTAATAGCTATTTCAGTTGGAATTGGGATTGTCTTTATCAAGAAAAGAATAGCAAAAAGGTATGAGTAAGCATATCCTTATTAAGTTTTTATATTAAATATTCTATTTACATAAAAGATCGAGCATAGGAGCTATACCATCACTACCACACTCTCTTTCGGAAGATTTGGGAGCAGCAACGTCTGGTCTCAATTTTGAATTTAATAGAAAGCTACAAAGTATATTATGCTTAAAATTAGTTTCTTTTCAATATTTTAAAAATCAAATCGCCATTTTGTTTCAGTTGTACAAAACATTTATCATGTTAGTTAATTTTGAGTAGGAAAAAGGGATGTTCAAGATGATAATGAACTTATTGTGATGTTTCTTGTTTATATCTCCATCATTAATAAATATATTGAGAAATGATATACCGCATAATTCCAGTCCAGATTACAAAATACATTTTGAGATGATATCAACATATTGCTGAAATATTTTTGAATATTTTCATTTATTTTAAATCTCATTAAAGTCTTCATTTATTAGTTTTAATTTCTTAAAAATACACTAGTTACGTGATTGCGAGATAGAAGCTCGACGTAGCGCTTACTCTTTCCTTTAATTTATTACTCTACTTTAATATATCACTTATTACATGTGTATAATCTTCAAAGGGAAATGACGTAAACGAAAAGTAAATTTTAATATTCCGTCGGATATATATTTATAATAAGTGTTCAATTAGATATAACACAAAGATAAGGATATGAATGAACAACATAAAGAATGTATCGATGATTGAGAACTCTCCCTTTGCTCTTTTATTATTGTGGACATACATAAGGTTCCACAATCTTTGTCTCTTTCTTTGATTTTTTTACTTTCCAAATTTTATAAGTAATAACACCAGAGATTAAAATTAACACCAAAAAACTTAGAATAGCTATAAGTGCTATATATCTTCCATTATCATTATCTTCAACGGTTACTATTTCTTGTTCAATTTCTATTAGAATAAGAAAAGAATATAAATAAATATTTCCACGCAATTAAAAATCATTAACCTTTGCATGATCCATTAAAAGAGCGATAAAATCCCAGTGAACAGGAACAGTAATATGATCCATATATGTTATTACAAATCGAACAATTTTTAATATCAGTTTCTTTTGAGCATTCATCAATATCTGAATGTAACAGAGATACTTAATGAATTATTGTGATTGAAGAAAAGTTTAGCTCAATAATTGTTTTCCTACCTAAACAGGTTTTTCCGTCAGTTGATAAATGTAAACCGGGCGGACAAGAACAGTTATATCCTCCGTCATAATTAATACAAAGAAAGCTACATTGTGTATCTTGAACACGACATTCATTAATATCAGTACAAGTTCTTCCTTCGTCCATAGTTGTAAAACCTTTTTCACATTCACACCTATATTTACCAGGTAGATTTATACATTTGTGAGCACAATCGTCATGTTTCAAAAGGCATTCGTCGACGTCTACATTAGAGAATCAGAAGAAAATGAAAGAATTCATTTTTGACAATTAGTTCCAATAATCAGATTTCATAGTTACCTTGACATTTCTTGTTATCTCCTTCTGGAATGTAAAAGCCGGACCTACATTTACATTCGTAACCTTCGCGTTTCTTGATACAAATTTGATCGCAATCGTGCTTCACAAGACATTCATTGTCTACATTGCAGGATCGCAAATCTTCTGCGAGCTTATATCCTGGTATATTACATTCGCAAACGACAGATCCAATGGTATTTGTACATTTTTGTTCACACCAATTTTGCGCGCATTCGTCTATGTCTATAATTAATCATAGCTGTAATTGTAGTTAATCTATAAGAACTCGAGAATAGAAACGTTTTTTTCACCTTGACATTGACTAGATCCTATCATTTTGAAGCCAGGTTTGCATAAACATTTAAATGATCCAATTAGGTTTAGACATATTTGCTGACAACGATTAGCATCATTGCATTCATCAACATCTTAATGAAGGAGAAATATAATAAAAAATTATTTGATTATTAATAATAGATGATATAGACTGTACCCAAATGGCAACAATGACCTTGCCATCCGATATTACATTTGCATGTGCCTTTTTCTAGCCTGCCTTGTCCACATCGCCGATTACATGGACGCTCCTCTTGAAGATGATAACACGGCCTTCCCCCACAAGCATTGCCATGTATAAGAGACCGTGTTCTGATTGAGATTCCGTCTGGTCCACATGGATGGTTACAAGTTGTCCATGGATTCCATTCTCTCTCTCGACAATGAACAAGGTTACATCTGCGGCGCCAAAAACCCTGGACAATCAAAGGAAATAGAATAAAGAGTATAAGTGTCAAACTTATTTTTCTCATAGCTGAAGCTCAAATGAGAAATGTTTTTAACATGAAGATTTAAAGGGTAAGTTCTCTCCAAAGTACCTAACATTTCAATAGAACTATTTTATTATCTTCTTTAAAAGACTTCGCTATAAGAAATATGAGTAATAACTACTTTTAATTGAATTAAAATGTAAAGAAATGTTGCTCTTTTTTACAGTTTTTCCATAATTAAAGTAAGTTTATTACTCAACATTTTAATAATTCTTCATCAACAACTTAGGTCAGCATTAAATTTTTCCTTCTTACTTTTTCACAGGGTATTTAAAAAATATTGTTTCTAATAGATAATGTCTTAATATACTTTCAGCCAGGTTTTTGAACAAAATGCAGTTGAACTGCAAAAAAATTTTCCCATGTTGATTATCTTGAAATTTTTTAGAAAACTTTCCTATTTTTTGTCTTGGTTTCAATAAGATTACATTGTAGCTAAACATATAGATGTCGCTTATTGTTGTGTTATTATTAATAATTATTGCTAAATATTAATAGAATATTTTAATCTTATCCTTAAAACTTAACAATAATCCATATTTTTCCATATCCTCTTTTCCTTAACATCATACTGTTTGCATTATCTAGTTTTATCATTGATAGACAATTACGTTGAAAACAGGAAGAGATTATCTACTAGTAATGTTATAATAATAACGTCTTGGTGAATTCCAATCAAATTCATGGACAAGATAATACATTAATGTTATCGAATATCTATTAGTATTTACTTAATCCAACAATTTCAATAAAACCTGGAATGTGTTGTTAACAATCTGCGATAATAAACAAATATAATCTAATTGCAATAGAGAATCTTTAAACAGTTCGTAAATGAGACAATTTGCAAAACTGAGAGAAATCTAAAATATATCTATTATAGACATTTCAACTAGTAGTAAACTTTTCAATTACTATATACTTAGTATTATTGTGTTTTTCTTTGCCGTTGATTAATAAGGTTTAACAGAGGCTTATCACCCTATCACCCTATACTGTAAATTTAACATCAATGGTGGCTTGATTTATCGTTCTTCTCATTGGTTTAAGGAATTCGGAGCAACGAATTGATAAATTTTGTTTATTCTAGTTTTTATGATTTCCTTTAATATTGAAAATTTAAATACTGAAAAGGGAAACTATTTTTCATTTGCTAATTGTCTATTAAGCGAATGGTTGTCATGGACCTTATGTTCCCAACCTTGAGGTTTAGAAGACATCACTAATTGTACCAGGCAAATAATCCAAAAGCCGAAATGCAGAGGGTACCCATGTAAAGATACAACATATCAAGAAAAACCCTTTAATATAGATTGCGGAAAAGGTATACTGAAAAGTGAGACTTGTGAATGTTCAACTAGATAGAAAGGAAAAATGCTGCAGTAAATTAATTAGACATCGATGAATGTTTTGAAAAGAAATGTTCACAAAATTGCACAAATACTATTGGATCATTTAATTGTTCTTGTACACCTCCGTCTATTCTATTATCAGATGAGACATCTTGCAGTGAATGTAAAGTTGATCACACGTGTTCACAGCACTGCATTGCTGGTAGACATAACTATCATTGTAAATGTTTTAATGAATATTTACAATCACTTAGAAATCCTGGATATTTGTCGAAAAATGAAGGAAGATAATTTCTAGATATTATTGAATGGGAGAGTTTAACTGTACTTTGCAGTTACTTTTGTATTAGTACAGAAGGGTCATATTTTTGTCACTGTCCGAATGGCTTAAAATTGAATACAACAAACAAGGAAGTATGCGAAGGTAATCTGTAATATTTGATATAGTATTTATAAAAGCGAAAGTACAAAGTACAATATATATCTTTTTAGTCATAAATAAATGAAGAAAGAAGTAAAAATATATAAGTTTGCTTCTAATATTTTTTGAATTTTTTCTTTTTATTTCATTTTTGCAAGATCATAAATTTTGTTGCATCAGATATGTGAATTAGCAGGGTTTAAATACAAGAACTCTTAGCTATAGCCAATCAATCAATGCTGGCAACTTAACTAGCAAATATAGAACGTCATTATTTAAAAGTATTGATTTTCAATAAAATCGATAAAATATGGAATTAAGGTGTAGAGATATGCAGTGTTCAATTCCGTAGTTATGCTTACCAACTTCTTATTAAGGTGTTCGACCATTCTGCTGATATCTAGCTCGACATCGACATAGAGCTCTTCGTTTAAAATACACAGCTCCACACACAGGGATAGTTATTACCAGAAAAATTAAACATACTACAATAGCGATATATGTTGCATCGTTATTTTCTTCAGCCACAATAACTTCCTGGGTTATCTCTATTAATATAAAATACATATATTTATATATATATACTGTACATATATATTTCAACGCTAACTTGTACACGTGCCGTTATCTGTCATATAATATCCAGTAGTACAAGAACAGAAATACGATCCGTAAATGTTTTTGCAACTCGGACAGTTTTCAGGTAAATTTGGGGATAAGCACTCATCAACGTCTGATTGTAATATGTGATATTAGATGTCGTACTAATTGGAATAAAATGGTGGGCTTCTTTCATTAATTTACTTCTTACCTGAGCAAGTTTCATCATCGTCATTTAGCATTAGACCAGGTGGACAGGTGCAATTATATCCTCCTTGATAGTTTTTGCAAAAGAAACTACATTGAATAGTTTCGATCCTACATTCATTAATATCAGTACAAGTTCTTCCTTCGTCCATAGTTGTAAAACCTTTTTCACATTCACACCTATATTTACCAGGTAGATTTATACATTTGTGAGCACAATCGTCATGTTTCAAAAGGCATTCGTCGACGTCTACATTAGAGAATCAGAAGAAAATGAAAGAATTCATTTTTGACAATTAGTTCCAATAATCAGATTTCATAGTTACCTTGACATTTCTTGCTATCTCCTTCTGGAATGTAAAAGCCGGACCTACATTTACATTCGTAACCTTCGCGTTTCTTGATACAAATTTGATCGCAATCGTGCTTCACAAGACATTCATTGTCTACATTGCAGGATCGCAAATCTTCTGCGAGCTTATATCCTGGTATATTACATTCGCAAACGACAGATCCAATGGTATTTGTACATTTTTGTTCACACCAATTTTGCGCGCATTCGTCTATATCTATAAAAATAGAAAATATAAGATATATTAAGCTTTTTCTATAAAGATGTTTTGAACAGAAATTGATACCTGCACACTGACTGGGCCCAACTTTCTGGAAACCAGGTCTACATAAACATTCAAATGATCCAATAGTATTTTGGCATATGTGTTGACAGCGTCCTTTATCTACACACTCATCGACATCTTCAGAAAGAAATGAAACGAAAATTAAGAAAAAGCGTTAAAAATAAAATAAAGAAAGATTTACCCAAATGACAGCAGTGACCTTGCCATCCTGGATTGCAATGGCACAAATTACCAATCAGTTTTCCCTGTCCACAATTCCGATTGCATGCGCGAGTTTCTTCGGTTGCTGCACAAGCTGTCCCACCACACGTAGGAGCAACTGCGATATGTCGTGTTCTTCTGGAGATCCCCTGCGTACCACATGGATGAGAACATGTTGTCCAAGGATTCCATGCTGCTAATTGGCAATCACGACGACCGCATCTTCTTCTTCTTCTTCTTCTCCAGAAGCCCGTATTAAATTGCAGTAAAACTAGTAGAATAGCTAGTATCAATAAAATTCGCATACTATAAGTTAGAAGTATTTGCCAGGATGAATCGTAAATTGTATTAATTTCCAATAGAATTAACTTGTTTATAATCCTCAAATTCACATCCAATAATGGTTAGAATGAAATTTCAAGAAAAAGTCGTCAAGATGGTCGAATTCTGAGTTTGAATCAAACAAATACATACGCTAAAGCCTTTCTTTACAGGACAGAAAGAATTTCTATAGTATATAAATAGATAAATTACAATTTGGTTACTGCGATTTCTATGTATTCAAACACAAATTATTTCAACTTCATTCTTTCCTTAATCCTTTGGATTTATTAGTCATTGGTTAATAAACTTCCTGATTCGTGTCACGCTCAGCGCTAACCGAAGATAGTTGACAATTATCATATTTAACTAAATGCTTAAATGAAGTTTTTTGGTCTTTCGTTTATCTTCAAATTATTTATTGTATTATTTATTATAAATGAGAGCGATTGTATCCACCGTAGATGTCACAAGCAGAACTGTTTATTACAAGAATGGACTCAATGGGACACTTGTTCCAAACCATGTGGCCCCGATGGTAGACAAACAAGAAGTCGTAAAGTTCTTATTCCAGCTTCTTGTGCTGGAAACCCATGTGGACATTTGTATGAAGAACGACCTTGCAATAGATATTGTGTAAATGGTATATATAAGGATGACATATGTAAATGTAATGATGGATGGATTGGAAAATGTTGCAATAAAGGTAATTGGCTTATTATTCTTTCCAAGTACAAGATATTTTTTTTAAATACAGATATCAATGAATGTTTAGATAGTACAAAAATTTGCCACCCAAATGTTTGTATAAATACAGTTGGAAGCTATAAATGTTCCTGTCATGCGGGATACGAAGAAGAGGATGGAGCTTGTACAGGTATTTACTGTTAATTAATAAACTATGATTCTGCAACACATTCTCTATTCAATCGTCTATTTTTTTGAATAGATATTGACGAATGTTCAGGGAACGTATGCGATCAAATCTGTACAAATACTGAAGGAAGTTATAAATGCTCATGTCGTGAAGGTTACATTCTGAATAATTTGAAAAGTAAATGTATTATTGGTGACTTTTGTAAAAATGGTGAACATAACTGCGATCATATTTGCGTCAGTAAGCCTGACGGTAGCTATTCTTGTAAATGTAAATTGGGATATTACGAACAAAATAATTCTACAAAATGCTTAGGTTCAGTTCTAATTTCTTCATCCAAAATTTCTATCATTTTCATCACAATCATTCAATTTCCGTGTCTTCCAATAGATATCGACGAATGTTTGTTATCTTTACATAATTGTAATCAGCTATGCATAAATACTCCTGGATCGTATAAATGCAGTTGTAAATCTGGCTTTAAAACGAACAATAATGGTTTAAATTGCATTGATATTGATGAATGTGCTGATATTTCCATACACTGCGACTATCAGTGTAAAAATACACCTGGTTCTTTTGAATGTTTATGTCCATCTGGCTTTAAACTATTATCAGATAAGCGAACTTGTCAAGGTAAAGACGACATATAATTTATTGAGAGATATGTAACTAATATTGAACATTACTGAATATAGATATCAATGAATGCAAAGAAAATTCAAACGTTTGTCAACATCAATGTAACAATTTAAATGGAACATACTATTGTTCATGTCAACCTGGCCATTATAATTTATCTTCCGGATGCGAAAGTTTCTATTTATTATGTTTAATTATGAATATTTGCTATTAAATAAGCTATTTTCATTGCACAAAAAGACTATTAATTAAAATAATGTAAATGAATATATCTTTTTCAGAATTACCAGTAACAGAGAAAACTGAACAAACGACAACAGATTCTAAACTATCTACTGGATATATTATATTGATTGTAGTCATTATTGCGTTAATTATTACTACAATAGCAATTGGAACTGTCTGCTACAGGAGGATAAGGTATCAATTAATTAATGAGGTCATAATTTATGAAATATTTTGATTTTTGTATAGGCGTTATCGTAGGGCTACTCGAACGACGATCGGAGAGAACCCTCCACCATATTCTCTTTCTGAGCAATCAGGTGTACCATATTGTTCTCCAGGACATTTAGATGTAACATGCCCTGACTATGTTAATTCAGAAAAGAAATCAAGTATATAAATATTCTAATTTCTATAAATAATTACAAATAAATTTGTTTTTTAGCCGAAAATATTTATAGTTGAAAATGTAACCACAATTTACTTCCTCTTTACTGTTTGTTTATTTTACTTTTTTCGTCAAGGAAGTTATGTTTGGTGAGAATTTTTCACCTTTTCCATAATAAACGGTTAAAAATATATGTTTCTATATATGAAATACATGTTTATTTATTAGTTTGAACAATTTACTTTAAAACATTTTCATTTTTTCCTTATTGAATAAAGAATAAGAATTTCATTTCTAAATTTTGCTATTTTTAGTTTTTTAGACAGTTATTCTTCAAGTTTTAGTGCATTGAAGGATTAACCTTAAATTATAATAGCGTATTGTTAATAAAATATCTTTTTGCGTGTTTTGCCGACTGATATTAAATAATTGAAACTTCTGTATTTGCCTATAATAAATATGGATAATCTTTTCAAATCGAAAGAGATCAAATCCAGACATTATGAAATATATTTTTTAATATTCATATCCTAAAGAATTTATAAGTAAGATCATACATGTTATATCTATTTTTACCAAAATAGTTATTTCTTAAATCTTATTGGCGAATTGTTTTACCATAGTTTCTATAGTTCCATATGAAAAGATAAACAAACCCTTTTAGAGAAAGTATGCTTGGAAATAGTATTATCCACATACTCGTTTTACTAATTATTCGTGCTTGTGCTTCCGACATTAGTCAATGCGAAGTTCGACACTGCAAAGTTGAAGAGTGGAGCAGTTGGTCACAATGTTCTACAGTATGTAATAATGAAGGTAACACTACCAGAGTCAGAAAAGTGTCTGTTGAAGCATTTTGTGGAGGAACTGTCTGTCCTCCTCTAAGAGAAGTTCGACCGTGTCAGTCTTTATGCATACATGGAAATATAGAAGAAGGCTTCTGCAAATGCAATCCAGGATGGATGGGAAACTGTTGTCATATAGGTAAGTCAATCAAAAATGTAATCATTTCATTGTAACAACTAATCAAATGTCAACTGTTTTGTTGTAGATATTGATGAATGTAACAAGACAACCACGTGTAAATACATATGCAAGAATACTGAAGGATCGTATCAATGTTTATGTCCTTCCGGTCACAAAACGGTAGGAAATGAGTGTATAGGTATAAACGCATACATTATCTCTTTTAATCATCCAATACATTTCAATGTATTTGCTCCAATAAAGATATTGACGAGTGTTCATTGGACATGTGTGATCAACGCTGCAAGAACTCGATTGGTTCTTTTACTTGTAGTTGTGAAGAAGGATACAAGTTAACAGAAGATCTAGTGCATTGCGAAGAAGTCAACGATTGTTCAATAGATAATAAATGTCATCAATTGTGCATTAAGGATGAAAACAATGATGACAAATGCTTATGTAGATATGGATTCTATTATTCGAGTATAAAGCAGAAATGTTATGGTAAATATTCAATTGATGAGGAATAATTAGGACAATTTGTTATCTCTCTCTCTCTCTTTTAAATTCCAATTAATAAATTGCAGATATTGATGAGTGTTTGGCAAATGATAAAGTCTGTGATCACAATTGCACTAATACTGCTGGTTCCTTCATTTGTAAATGTAATGAAGGATATAAGACAATAAACAAAGGAAGAACTTGCCAGGATATAGATGAATGTAAGGAATTTGTAACAAATTGTCCATTTTTTTGTGAAAATACTCCTGGCTCATATAAATGTTCATGTCCAGTCGGTTTTCAGTTAGATCCATTTACTTCGAGATGTCAAGGTAAAATATATTCTTTTCCTCTGTCTCTCTCTCCCTCACTCGCTTTCTCTATGTGCAGTTGTATTATGAACAAGTTTATATTCTCTTTAGATATAGATGAGTGCCAGACTGAAAGTCATGGCTGTGGGGATAGTTGCATCAATACTCATGGAAGTTTTCATTGCTCATGTAGAGACGGATTTAGTGCGGTGAATGGTACATGTAAAGAGGGTAATGGACAATAACTAATTAGTTGATTTTTCATAAAAACAACTTACTTTTGCTTTCGTTTTCAGATAAAAAATTAATAGTTCATGAAAATTCTAAACTACATATTAAATATGTTATTTTAATTATCTTGTCTATAATAGCCATATTATCTTTCGCTGTGGTATTAATTTATGTAATTAGAAGGCAATATATAGTTAATATCCCCCGTGGCCCGGTACCTTCTCCAAATAATTCTTCTCTCAGACGCACGTCTTCTTATACCGAACCCATTTCACCGAATAATGCTTAGTAAGAATATTATCAATATTAGGGGACTCAAAATAAAACTAGAAGGAGAAGGAATATATGAATTTATTCATTGAAAAACGTTAGTTCAGTTTTCAATATGTATACAGTTGTTAAAAGTTGTTATTTCTTCTTTTTAAAAGTATAATTTCTATGTAACTTGTTAAATTTTTCTGTGTGATTTCTTCTATTCGTATACTAAATAGCAAATATTCTTGCTGAAATGTTAATTAGGAATACAAAGGAAAATCGAAGGAAAAATGAAAAGAGAATGAAAATAGATAGAAGAGAATTAAGAGAAATGTTATGATAGTAACTTAGCACAATAAAAGAAGATTGAAAGATTGAATGCTTTTAGGAAAACAATAGAAATAAAAGAGAATTTTTTATTTCTTTACAAAATAACTTTTAATTTGAAATAAAAGTTTATATAAACTTTCTTTTAAGTTTCTATGAGCAAAGATATATAACCATGGATTAATTATTGGCATTACGGCAGAGATTGAAAAAGCCAACAATACAGGAAAGTTAAAAACATATGGAAAATATATGGTTATAACAATTAAGAAATATGTTAAGACGAATAAATGAATTACAAGTGAAATTAAACAAAATATTGCAGATTTTGAAATATTTATTGCATGTTGCTGTTGCTGAACATGATCGAAACTTCTTTCCAAGTCCCAAACTTTTTTCTTTTGACCTCTAGCAATAAATATTATTAACGTATGACAAATGGAGCTTATTGCAATAAAAGGTAAACCAAATATTCCAAGTATAATTAGAATTGAATAACGTGAGTAATAGAGAACGTTATCGCATATTTTCATTACATCAGGGCTATTTTTTAGAAAAAAGCTGGAATATATTGGAAAAGGATAGACTATTGCAGTGAGTAGTATGAAGCATGCTACCATAAAAACTACAAGTTTTTTTGAAATAGCTTGTTCAAAATTTAACGGATATCTTATATTCAAATATTTAAATATATATATGCATAATATCAAATAACTAGATGTAGCGAAGAAAAATGTAGGTTCTATCATAACCAAAACACAAATTGGTTGACTATGTAACAAAGATGGATGTTTTATTATAAAACTCATTGTTAAAACACAAACGCAATATAGCGATTCTGAAGTGTTCAAAGAGAGAATTAATAAATTATACTTGACCTTTGATGTTGTTAATTTCGCTATCAAAATCAAAGAAAATCCATTTCCAATCATACCAATTAATGATAATGTCATCATAACATTTGACATTACTGTCGATGATAATTTTGTTATACCAAGTATTGTGATATTAAACATTTTAACCAGTTTCTGCTTATACAAATTCAAGTATACGTATACTTTTTACCTGTAGAGAATCCAAAGTGTAAATGTTTCCTTATATTATCATTTTACAGCTATTAATAATTAAATTCAGTCTACATTATAAATCGTAAATAAACTGTACTAGGTTAATTGCATGGCTTTGCTACTGCAGAAGAAAAATTAATGTTAATTATTCAGAAAGATGTAATACACTATATTGGTAAAAGGTTTATGGCAAATATATTGTTATGTACTATATAAAATAATCATTCTTAAAGATGATAAATAAAATTATTTATAGTTTATTCACAGTTTTCAAACAACAGTAATGATGGAAAACATTAATGTATTACGTAAGGTTACTAATTAATATAAATCGATTTCATCATTGATAACCGTTAAAAGTAAATGTCTTCTCAAGAGCAAACAATGACAGTGCACATTTCTGTAATGATTAAAAAACAAAGAGGAATAAACTAGAACAGTAACAACATACTGATATTTCATCATCCTTCAACTTTTCTATTCTTAAAGTACTCTTTTATGGGCTTTATTCTTTTATACATAGATTTTTTCAAACTTTTATCACCAAAGATAAATAGCCAGGGATCGACAAGCGGGCTAAGTATGCTGAGGAACATTGATAAAAGTGACCAAGCTGACGAGATATCCAAAAAAATGATTGCGGATGACGCTATAAAAAATGTCCATATAAATAAATTTAATAAAAGAGACGCCAGAAAAAACATAGCAGATCTGGAAACATTTGAAACTGTTAATATATTTTGTCGGTTATTAACTTCGAATCTTCCTTCAATATTCATAATCTTTTGATGTTGATTTTTAGCAATTAATATAATACGAATATGTAAAACTAAACTAAGGGCAATGCACGGAATTACAAACATGACTACAATAGATAAAATAGAATATTTACTAAACGATACTTTATTACCGCAGAACTTGAAAAATTCAAAATTAAATATATTCCATAAATGACCATGAAAAGGATAAGAAAATGATACTGAAACTAGAACAAGAAGGATTATAATCATAAAAACAAGATGCCTTATTTTAAATACTTCATTGAAAGTTAAAGGATATTTTATATGTAAATATTTATAGATATAGATACAAGATAGGAAATAATTGGACGATACAAAAAATACAGTTGGTTCAAGCAATAATAAAAGACATAAAAATAGATTTTCCAGTAGATATAGATGTAAAAACGTATACGAAATTAAAAAGGAACATGTGCTAAAAAATATATCCGATATATTTAACAAACCAATTATAATGTATAACTTATTCCATGATGATCTTGTACTTAGTATTATAAATAAAGAGAATACATTACTGAATAATGCCAATACTGCTGTAATCGTCGAAAGTACAACAGTTATATTTAAGAGCACACCTCCTTTTCCAAATATTGAGAGAGTACTATTCATAATCTCTTTATTCCTTTTCTTACTTGTTTTATGGTACTGTATATTCTGGAAGAAATTGCTTTTTTATATTGACAACCTGAGCACATATATTGATGCACATTTCTGAATAAATTATGCAAATTAACAATATATTTATAACAGGTATTCAACTAACTTAATAATTAAGAAACAAACATTTACCCATTTAATTCTCAGTTGATAACCCGATATAAAATACGATAGTTTAAACTATTAACAGTTTGTAAAGGTTATTATTATCCGGCCTTTGATTTTTCTTTTATACATTATATTCCATAAGAAAAGAAAAGAAACAATTCTATTAAAACAGCTAAATCTGTCGAAAGTCATTTCGAATAGGGAATAAATTTGATTCCTTTGAAACGTTTAAACTAACTATACGTTCGAGTGCAAATTAACTTATTAATTAGTAGAATGTCAGTTATCTACAACCATTTTTTCCCTATAGTATATAACTTAGCAGGAAGAAAATAGATTTTGTATTTCTAGTTCTATTAACCATTTTAGTAGTATTGAAATTGTATTTTCCCTTCTCTATTTATGATTTATATATCACATTCAATTTACTTTTTCAACTCTTATATGGTTGAATGACATGAGATATTTCAAGTATACGGTAATCCTCTATCTTTGGAATTTTTTCTTCAATCTTAATTGTAAAGCCTTGACGTGTGACGATATTAACTGTGAAAGAATATGGGGACAATGGTCTGCTTGTTCAAAGTTGTGTGGTAAGACAAATAGAACTGAAATATATAAAAATCATCAATTATCTTTGAATTGCCCCAAAATTGAAAAATGTGCAAAAGAGGAGAGTGAATACTGCAATTGCAGATCAGATTGTGAAAATGGTTTTTTCGGTTGTTGCTGCGATATAGGTTTGATAGAGTAATTCATCATTTTTAATTTACTTGAATAATTTTTTTTCTTAAATTAGATATTGACGAATGCAAAGCAATTCCCAGTCCTTGCTCTCAAAGATGCGTCAATACGAGAGGATCATATAGGTGCGAATGTTATGATGGATTCATCTTAGATGACAGTGGAAGAAAGTGTATAGGTAATTTAGTGTATTAGGCGTATTATAAATATATTATTTATTTATTAAATAAGATCATGATGAATGTAATACGAATAACGGAGGATGCAAGGATGTATGCCAAAACAGTTTAGGATCATATTCCTGTTCCTGTCGGAGTGGTTATAATATAGGTAATGATGGAATTTCTTGTATAGGTTAGTTAATTAACATCTAACTATATCTTCGTAATTGTTTTTATTATTGTCAGTTAACGATTTCTGTTCCTCGAATAAAAGAAAATGTTCTCAAATATGTATAAATACACAGACAAGTTCGAAGTGTTCATGTTATCCTGGATATAAATTAGACAATGATGGCATTACGTGTTCAGGTTGAATTTTCTATTTTATGACGTATTTTGCTTGTAATATCCTTTTACACAGATATTGACGAATGTGAAGAGAACGAACACAATTGTTCTCAATTGTGTTATAATACGCAAGGATCTTTTATATGTTCTTGTAAAGTTGGATATCGTCTAAAATTTAATACAAAATGTTTAGGTATTGCTTGAATTTTTCATTTTTAAATTTCTTCCTCTATTCTACATTTATTCAAAGATATAAACGAATGTGCAGAAAATGATCATAGCTGTTCGCATATATGTAATAATTCTCCGGGATCTTTTAGCTGTAGTTGCCCTTTCGGTTATAGATTAGACGGCGATAAAGTCAACTGCGAAGGTTTTAAAATAGTACTAGTATCTTCTATGTTAAAAATAATATAAAAATAAATTATCTACAGATGTTAATGAGTGCCGAACTAATGTTTGTGATCATGTTTGTGAAAATACCGAAGGATCTTATAACTGTCACTGTAAAGATGGTTACAAATTTAATAAAACTAGCCAATTATGCGAAGATATTGATGAATGTTCAACAGAAGGACAAAAATGTGAACATTCTTGTGAAAATACTCCAGGACATTTTAATTGTTTATGCTCATTTGGCTTTGAAATAGACCATAATAAATACGATTGTAAACGTAAGTTATTCTATATTTTAGAATACTATGGATCATTAACAAATTCTTTTAAATCTTTAGTAAATTTAACAATAAAAATCATCATTGGTGCATGTGGTTTCGTTGTTCTAAGCGTGACACTAATATTGATAGCATGTTGTATCTACTGCAAGACAAGGTAAGTCAAGTCCAACTGAAATTCTCCTGCAAAAATGAAAAATCTGTTCAATAGAAGAGATACGAGTTATAAGAAAACAAGAAAACGCATAAAGAATGTTTTAAAAAAGACATCTGATTATAAAGAAGATATAAAGCGACAGAAATATATGGGATCTCATATACCAGCAACATTTAGGGAAACCAATCAAAGTACTAATTTGCAAGTAATAAATATAGAAGGAACCAATAATTCATCCTCATCCGACTACGTAAATGAATGTTTTTCAGAATTTTAGAACATTGATTTATAATGTTAATTGTTACTTTTTCTATTATATTATTAATTTATGAATTATAGTACAGTATATGCAAATAAGCGATTTTTTCAGTATTAACTAGCGACATCTGCATAAACATGAATTTATTCCTGACCTGAAAAATAAGTAGATATTAATGAATGTTTGGATAGGAACGGAAGTTTGCGATACAATTTGCGTAGATATTAAATACTTTCCCATTTTAGATAGGAGTCATTAAAACAGAGTTAATTAACTTTTTTCAAATAAACAACTCTTCAAAGTAAAATTTTACAAACTAAACCGGAAATGAGAAGTATAAAGTTTTAAAAGCGTTTGGATGAAAAGTGTATTCGTTTCGCCCAACAGATAGTTGTAATTTCTGATATAATTTAAAATTCAAATACTATTTCCTTTCCATATTTTTAATAAATTGGAATATCATTAATTAATATTAATAATTGGATTTTGCTTTGTTGGAAAAAAACAACTGTTTCTTTTCTTTTTGTTTATAAATATAAAATATACAATAAAACGGTTTGAAGTATCACAAAATGTAGAAGAAAAAAAAAACAGAAAAAAAAAAAAACAACTTTAACGAACCAAACAATTTCTTTTTTTTTTGTCTTTAAATTTTGTCTTCTTTTTTTTTTAATAAAAAAAAATAATTAATTATTTATTATCTTTGTTAAAAATAGTTAAATTTTTGCAGTTCTTGTTTTTTTTTGTTAAACCTTAGGATTTTTCCAAAATGGAACAAAGTGTGTTGCAGTTAATTATGGAGCTCTCTTTCTTTTCTTTTTATTTTGTTATTTTAACCTTTAAACGCATCCGTATTCGTACCAGATACCAGGTTTTTTCTTTGCATCCGGTTTTGGCGGTGTCGAACCAGCACTAGTTGGAGTTGAAGGTAATTTCCGGCCTGAATCGGGTCTTGAAAATGCGGATTTTGGATTTCCAATAATGGGTCGTACTCTTCTGGGAGGTGGAGCCGGAGGCTCAGGGCGATTGTTGGCAGCCTCATGGTACGATTTTACAAGATTTCTCACACTACCCGGTGCATAAGAATCCGTTCGCATTTCCCTCTCTTTTGGTCGATTTTGATATCCATTTTGGTCAGATTCATATGGTACAGCCGACTTTGGTCTAAAATAATGTCTTGGAAGAGTTTGCGTAGTTTGAGGCTGTTGATCAGGCATACCCATTACGCTATGAGGACGGGCTTGAGGAGATTGACTAATTGGAATGTTCATTTCAGACTTGGCGCGAGTCTGATGCCGCAGAGCTTTCTGCTCATCATCATCCATAATGGTTGCAGATCTCGGGCCTTGATTAGCAAGATCAGTTTCTTTAATATCTGCTTCAGTGTCGGGCGCAGTTAGATCGACTTTCTTTTCTAGTAAGAATTTTCTCTAAAGAAAAATTATTCATAATTGTATTACTAATTGATTTAATAAGGAAAAGAAGAATTATACAACTTATCTTACCCTAGATTTAGGAGATTTATTACTTTCATTCAAAAATTGACTAAGAGTTATTTGTTCCTCTGGGCCATCTTCAGAAATGCTTGTCTGATCGGAAGCTTTAGATAATAATTTACGTTATTATTAGTTTTTCATTCACCAAAAAGAATTACATTGAAGAATACTTACAATTTATCATCAAACTTAGATCTCTGACGTGTTTTCGTTTGGCTATAAATAATTATAATATTTAAATAACAAATGTGATAAGTTAATAATTTTGTATACAAACAATTAGAAGTGTTCCAGCTACTATCCATATCATCACCAAATAGATTTTCGCTTGATTTTGCACCTAGATTAACGGAATTTTTTGATTAATAATCGAGAAAACTTTTCAAGTTTTTTAGGAAAAGAATGAAAGGGAAAAATAACATTAGACTTTTGAATATTTAACACTTAAAATAACATATAAAAAGTCATATGAACTAACCTATTTGTTAGTAAGATATAAGTTATCTATTAATATATTTCCTTAGAAAATAGATTCTATTTAACGAGTAAAAGAAGAATACAACGTAAAGACGACAAGAAAATGATGGAGTGATACGAGGAAAGAGAGAAAGAGTAAAAATAGAATAAAAAAGATAAGGGGTAGCATTTTTAGAACCGGGTCAATGACACTCACTACGCATAATGTTTGAAGTATGCCCATTACCAACAAGATTAATTGCGGTTGTCGATCGTGCGAAATTCTTCGATTTTGACATCGATGACGGAGTAGATTTTTTGCCACCTGAACCCAACCAATTAGTAAAAGAAAAAAAAACAAAAACAACCAAAAAATCAAAAGAAAATAATAGCAAAGTGTTTCATTTCTTTTGATTTAATGGTAAAATTATCTAGTTTTTGCTATAAAAAGGTAATCAAATAATCTAAAAAATATATTTCCTCGAATAACAATAATATGTCATCTATATATATATACAGTATATATATAGAAACATTAAAGATACTATTTATAAATGATTATATACATTCAATTCGTGGAAATATAAAACTACTAGAATTTTATGGTTATTTCAAAATGGTTAGCAATTAAAAAAGTGAATTTTTAAGTAGGAATCGTTATTGATGATTTAACGGCGGATAAATTTTAAAATATACCTCTTCTTACTCCACTTTCATCGAAACTTCCACTACCGAAACTGCCACTTCCAAAACTAGAGTTTTCTTCTCCTTCTTTAATTTCGCTTGCTTTACCCCATTCTTTACTTTTAGTTCTTGTCATCATACCTTTCGCTCTTCGTACTAGGTTGGCGGCAAAACTAGTTTTCCTTTTAGGTGATGGTTCATATCTTTTATATTGATCCATTATCTTTTCTTCTAGTTTCTCTTTTTGTCTTCTTAAATCGTTCATTTTTTCTAGATAATGTCTTTGTTCGTCGTGCATATGCTGTTTACTTTCTAATACAGTAGTCAGTAAATCTTGATTTTGATTAAGAATTGTTTGTAATTGTAGCATTAAACCTCTGTTTTCTTCCTCTAATTTACAAACAATTTGCTCTAAAGAGTCTACCTTATTGCCTAACTTGCATATTTCCAAGTCGGCTTCCCGAACTTGGTCAACAGCTTCCCTTATAGCATCTTCTTGTTCAGCTTTACTCTTTTGCAGCCTTTCTATTTCTTTCTGCAGGATATCATTTCGGTGTTTCCATTCGTCTTCACCGGCTCTTTTCGCATTGCTAAATTCTTTTGCAAATCTGTCATTTTCGGCATTTAACTGATCATTTAACTTTTGTAGTTTATCACAGTCTTCTTGTAATTTCTCGTATTGTCTAAGAGCATTTTCCAGTTCGCCACTAATGGACGCTTTCGTCTTTTGGGCAACGTTTAATTGTTGTTGGCAACTTGTTAGATGAGATTGAAAAGTTCGATTATCAACTTGTAATTGAGCATTCTGACGTTGTAAGGATTCCAATCTACCCTGACAGGATCGAACTTCAATTTGCGATTCATTGCGAATCTTTTCTAAATTGTCATTTTTCTCCTGTAATTTATTCGTATGAATTTGCATTGAACGATTTTCTGTTTCCAGTGTAGCATTAGCTCTTTCCAATTGGATCAGATGATCTTTCAATTCAATAATTTCATTACCTAATCGGCTTTTGACATGATTTTTTGAGTCGTTAGACAGAGATTTTGAGAAAAGTTTATCCTCTTCAGCCCTCTGCAGGAGAACATTATGGTCCCTCTGAACAGATCTAAGAGTTTCTTGGATTTGGATATTACGATTTTTTGATTCGGCTAATCTTGTGTCGAGTTCTCGAATTTTTTCATCTTTTAATTCCAGGCTTCTTTTGAACGCGTCTTGCATTAAGTGTTCAAGAGATTTGAACTTTTCCTCGTCAGAGGCTGCCTTTTGCGTATATTCCCCAATGGCTTTATATTTATTTAACTCCCTTTTCATATTCTCTAGATCGTTTCGCAATTGTTGCGATCCAATTTTTTCATTGACTAGATCCTGTCGGAGAACAGTTATCTCCCTACTCTGAACTCCACACTTTTGAGCTAATTCACCATTATCTGACTCTAACTCTTGAATTTTGACGTTTGTTTCCAAATATCTATCAGCAATTCTCTTTACTTGTTTTAATTCTCTCTCAACAACAACCGACTTGGAGCGTTCCTCCTCAAAGTTCTTTTGACTCTGCTCAACAATTAGCCGTAATTTCCGGAGTTCATTTTCCAAATCCGCCTTGCAATTAAGTAGATCGGCATTTTCCGTTTCAAATTTTTCTATCTCCTTCTCAATCTCTTCATATCTGTTAGCCTTCCTTTTCAAATCTTCAAAGCTCCTCTCTATATCTGACCTTTCGCTGAGAACCTCTTCCAAGCGACTCGTAGCTATTTCAACAGACTTTCTCAATTTGCGAGTTTCAGCGGTCAATTTCATATTTTCAACTTGTAACTTTTCATTCTTACTCCTATCTTCCTTAGAGAGATTGTTCAAATTTTTTAATTTATTTATCTCCCTCAATAGATCCTCTTTCTCATGTTCAAAATCAACAGCTTTCATAGAAGTATTCTTTACACTTTCCAAACATCTATTTAACCTTTGATTTTCTGTTGATAAGGCAATGTTTTGCTTTTCCGCCTCCTCTCCTTTCTCTACCCGAATACGAAGATTCGAGGCGATTTTATTTAATTTCCGATTTTCAGCCTCTAAATCAGCTGTTTCAACCTCTAACTTTTCATATTTATGTTCAATGAAAGAATATTTAGCCACCTTTTTATGCAAATCATTACACTCTTTCTCATATCTTTCATTTTCCTCTTCTAATTCTTGAATTTTGTTATCGTTTGATTCTCTTTTCTTTTTTTCAAATTCAAGATCTCTCAATCTTGTAGTAATCTCTTTAACAGTATCTTGTAACCTAACATTTTCTTTTTCCATCTCGCCAACCTTAATGTCGTTCGTCTTTTCGCAACGTTTCCTTAACGATGATAAATTCAAATTTAACTGTTCATTCTCAACTCTAAACTCTCTTAATTGCCTTTCCATGTTTTCTCTAACAGTATCCAAAGTCTTTTCTAAGCCAACCTTTTGCGATGTTAGCTTTTCTTTTTCCTCTTCTAAAAGTATCATTTGTTCATTTTCTTTCAATTGAACCTCTTGCATGCTTTCGACCTTTCGGCTAAGACGTGCATTCTCCTTTTCAACTTCCATTAAGCGTTGTGCAGATTCCAAGGCAGCATTCTCTTTCATTTCGGCTAATTGTTTCGTTAAACGATTATTCTCCATCTCAAGGCGAAGTATCTTTGCATTTGACGAATCTTTAAGTTGTTCACCAAGAGATTTTGAAAGGTCTAAACAAAAATGAGAGATTTCAATGCAAAAGATAAAATAGATAAGCATAGATTTTAAGAATTAATTAAACTTAAATAATTAATTTACAAAAAAGAATTAAACTGAAATCAACAAGAAAATAAAAAGATATTATTATTAATATAATATTTTTTTCAATAGTAATAATAAAAATAACATAAATGCCTATTTGAAAAAAAAATACCATGCTTTAATCGAGGTAATTTAGACTTCATTGTCCAGTTAAAAATGAGAATTATACTACATCACTCAGCGTTTAGCGTTCAAGTGACATGGATTACATTAATTAGTTCTACTCAAAGTAGAAGGAATAAAAAAGCTTGTCGCGGTACCTAAACTCTTTTTAGTTTTGTTTTGTTGTTGATAGTGCTTGTTTTTTTTTCAATTAACATACTCAAAGTTAGAATTTTATAACTATTTTAACATATATATATACTGTATATAAACAATTGTACATATATATATATATATTTCAAGTAATAAAAGAGACGCTTACTATTGCTAGCATTAAACTTTGCTCTAGCCAACTCCTCTTCTAAATTTGCACTTTCTGTGAAAGACGTCTTCTTTTCAAATTCTAATCTTGCATTTATTTCAATTAATTCCTCCATTTTTTCACGACATTCGTCCCTTTCCTAACATTTTACAAGAACTTTTTTACGAATGCTAACATTATTAATGTAATAAAGAAGATGAAACAGTTTTTTGGTGACGCTTCGATGAATCGATTATCTTTTGAGGATACGATGTACCTTTAAAAGCTTATTATAGTAATAAGATTCGTTTTGTAGCTGACAAAAAGAGCTCTTTTTATATAAACACAAAAAATGAACAATTTAGGTTAGCTGATCAGACAAAAATCGAGGTATTTTATACTTTCATTAATTCTATTGGACGGTCCCTAGAGCATCTTATTCTTAAATAAAACGAGTAAATCTTTCCAACAACTTCGCATGCGGCATCTTTCATGTCTTTGTTACCAAATATAAATATTAACGGATTACACGATAAACCACTGACAAGTAGGAGAACACCGATAAAGTACAGATGATGACGATAATAGGGAAAATAGATAGTATTTGGTATAAGTGTAAGACTTAATGCAGAGAAATTTAGACATAAAGCTACGAAACAGAACAATGCAGACCTAGATACAGTTCGAATTAGACCTGAATCATTTAAGGCTTCCGTTTGAATTTTTTTAGCATGTTTTGCAGCTAATCTAATAATATAGATATGTATACTAATACTTACACTTGTAAAAATGATCATTACAAAGTAAAAGAAAAGGTAAAAGAATCTATCTATGGAAATGATATTGTTACATAAAGATTTCGTCATAGAAACTCCAAAAATATACTTATGGTAGAGAGGATAAAGTGCGAAAATCAAGCCGAATATAATACCACTAATTATCATAAGAATAACTCTTGGTTTCGATAATAAACGATCATATTTAAAAGGAAAACGTACAGTAATAAAACGTTCAACGTATACGCACAAAATCAGATAATTTGATAAAATCATAAAGAAAAATAATGACAGTGTATATAGCATACAAGTTATAGTATTTACATGCATCGTACTTTTTGTTTCAAGTCTTAGAAACGTACAGGAAAACAAAATATCAGAAAAATTCAATGCAATTAATATAAAATTCTTACTTGTTCTTAAACTATTATAAATTACAAACAATGATAAGGAAAATATATTAATAAACATCCCTAAGAAAGCTAATATATTATAAAAAGTCAAATATATTGAAATCACTGATAAATACGTTTTACGATATATTTCGTCTGGAATAGTCGTATTATATCTATTATATTCCATTTTACAGCATCGCTCAGACAAAACACTATGAGCTAATGAGCAAGATTCCTTAATGATATTTACAGAAGGCTTGGATGATAAAATAAATGCACAACTGTTTGTTATATCTCAGTAGATAAAATAAAAAAGGTTTATATAGTTTTTATCATAATCAACATTAGTACAGATAAAAATATCTTGGGTTATAAATAATATCGTTTGAATATCTCTATAATCGTGGAAATCTAATCGGGCTTTTAATATATAAACGTTAAATATTAATAAATGTTATTATTAAAGAGAATGTGATACTATTATTATTATTTTTTTTACCAAGATTCGGCTTAACTAAATACAGGAAAAAATAATTATTAGCTAACTTGAAGAGCTTTCGCAGCTGGGAAGTAAGATAAGACTATGCCTGTTTATCGCTAACTTATTTGTATTTTTCTTGTTTTTAGAGCAATATTATGGTAGGGGAACAAAACAATCATTTACTTAAAAAATTGGGATATTGAATAAGCGTCACCAAATACGTGTTTCTTCTTATATCATTTATATATATATATATATATATAAATATCAAATAGCTCTCACCTTACAGATCATATCAAATTTTTCTTTGTACTTGATCAAATCATTTTCTAATTCCATTACTCTTTCAACTCTCTTTGAACTACCGTCCAATTTTTCCTCCAACATCGTTCGGGTTTCGTCTAAAATTCTATTATCTTCTCTTAATTCCTAATAGGTTATTAGCATAAGGCGATTAAGGTTTTAGTTGTTTTTTTCCCCCTGTAATTAATTAATAACACCTACTTCTACTCTTGTCTTAAAATATTCAAATTCGTTAAGTTTGTTTCTTAATTTCTCATTTTCCGCTTCGTACTTTTCAAATCTTTGAGCTTTTTCCTTCCAAACATCCAATTCGTCTCGATAAGTTCTTGCTGACCTTGCATCTTGAATTAGTATTCTATTCTAAAGAGATTTAAAACAAGAGTTTTTATTATTGATTATTTAATGTTTCAATTAATTAGCTAATATTTACTTCTTGCTTGATTTTATTTAAGTCCTTTTGTAGTATATCTAATTCTTCAACATATTCGTGTATTTGCTCCGTTCTTTCTTCCCTTTGAACATAAAAAGGTCATGATTTATAATACGAAATCCGCAAGTTTTTATTTAAGCTTACAATTCTTGTCTAACTTTTCTTAACTTGGCCTTATTTTCGGCAAGTTCTAAAGCTTGGCTATTTTGCCTTTCAGGACTGGGAGCGGCTTTGGGTTGTCTCTGAATTTCAACTTGTGCTTGGCACAATTCGTCAACAGTTGTCGTCAAATTCTTCATTTCGTCCACGTAAAAATCTCTTTCTTGAACTAAAGACCGAAGATGATCTCTCATCGTCCTAGATAATTCTGATCCCTCATCGTCTGGAAGATCTACTGAGAAAACGTTTTTTCGGTCTTCGGTTATCTGTTTATCAAGTGATTATATGAGCTCAGAATTCATCTTGGTCGGCAAAACATAAATTATTATAGAAATAAACATTAAGTCTAAATTACAAACTAAATAATATAAGCAAACTATAAATTTGGAGAGTAAATTGTACATCTGTTTTTCAAACACTTTGTTACAGCATTACTCAGCCTATAATTGCCTATTAGTTTCAAAAATAAGATTTGTGGGAAAAAGAGAGAGAAAGAGAGGAGGGGAAAATGAGAAGTGAATCTATATAATCTGCAACCTTGCAGTCTTAACCTGTACAAGTGAGAATTTGTGGGAAAAAAATAGAGAGAAAATGCGAGATAAATGAATAAAACCTGCAACTTTACAGTCATATCTTACGCAAGTAAGAGATAAGGGAAAAGTAAACAAAAAAGAGAAAAAAGTTTAACCTTTAACAACTTATCGCCTAGAAAGTTTTCCCTCTTGAACTTTCACTTAGAAAGCGTTAAAATATTCTTTTTAATGATCTAATTAACAAAAGAAATAGTCAATACAAGAAATTTGCCAAGTTTTCCCTTTAATGCTACAACCTTTGTTAATCTTATGTCACAATTGAAGTTTTCCGATAATTTGCTTTTAATTTGTCACAATTATTATTTGTATTGTTACGTATGTCTATTAGGATAATGGAAATTAATTATTTATATTACTATATTATCATTAAGATGTAGGGAAAAGAAAAATGATTACTTTTTTGTGTCAGTATGTAAAAAACACTAAAAAAATATGCCAATTAACAAAGAAAACGTCTAAAGTAAATAACGAGGACATTCGAAAATCAGTATTATATAATATTATATAATTATTACAGCTGTAGCGATCATTCAATCGTTGATAAAATGCATTGTACCTCTTCTCTCTTATGTAATATACGCCATTTATATGCGTTTCATGTAATTCATTATCTAGCGAAAAATCACATTCGAATACTAAAAGACGGATTATTTTTGAATGAAAGCAATTCAAAGGTATTTTATCATGATTTGACTGTCACCCCCTACCCGTCTTCTTTTGATGCAATTTCAAAGCTATCTAATAAATTTATGACGTAATCTTCTATTCATCTCGCAAGGAAAGAATTTATAGAATATTAATAGATAAACATTAAAAATAGATAGAAATTGCTAATCAAAACTTTCGATAGAAAATAACCCATAGTTTTATACGTAACTGCAACTTTCGATATTAATGATGCGACTAATCATTAGTTAAAGTCATTAACTCAAGTAACAGGAAATGAGGTAGAATTGCGGATAACATAGAAGTTATGTAATGAGTTTGTTTAACAATTTGAGTGTTTTTACCTTTCCTAGGGGAATCGATAACCTAAATATATATATATATATATATATATATATAATTTTATTCATTTGTTCATTTTCAGCTATAATAGGAAATTCATTAGCAATTTTGAATTTTTACTTCAAAGGAGCCTTAATTAATATTCAAATATATTTATACCGGCATTTTATGTTTCTAATGCATTTAGAACTCTAACGTGCTATTTTCTTTGTTATATTTACATTTAACTCTGATTATGCACTAAACAATAACCTTCTTTTGTGCCTCTGCCTTCTTATATTCGCATAACTCTTTCATTCTACCAAACTATTACCTAACAATGATTTATATCGAAAGATTTGTCACTATGAAATATTCACAACGATTTCAAAAACTCTTAAATAATTCTACTATAAATTTACCATAGGTATTGAGAACTATGCTCTTTATTCTGGCAATGATTACCTAACCACTACTCACTATGAAAGTGTTTCCCAAAGCTAAGTTTCAAAGATTTATTCAGTGGCAACTTTTACAGCGATCGCCCTACTCTAATATTTCTTACTGTTGTCTTGTTAAATTTGACATTACACATATCCATAATATTAATAGCTATTAAACACAAGGGAAGAATAGCTAATCTGCAAGTAAATAATACAAGAGAGGATAAATTGGTATCTAGGTCAACTATAGGTTGTCTACTGGCCCTTATACTAAAATGCAATCTCTTGCAGTAGCTTTGCATTAGAGTCTATAGGAGAATACTCAAATATCGAGAATCTTTACTCAAATATAATAATTCATTTTAACGCTGTAAGCAATCCTATAGTGTTTATAATACTTAGAGAAGATTTTAAAAAGTCTTTAAAAATGAATCTTTTAAAGTATCCTTAAAAGTTAAAAGTTAATAAACTATACATAACAGTTGTTTACTATTTCTTTGAATAAATATAAAAGTATTCTCGCTTTCCTATTATTTATTATATTTAAAAGGTTAAAGGTAATTGAAAAGAAATTTAAGCTTATATTTTATCAGTTGTTAACTCTAATAGTAAAATGTTATTAGAAAACAATACTACAATCATTTTCATAGACATTATTAAAATCATCATTTCTATAGCTATTGTCATAGAAATAAGTGATAATAATATAAAATTCGTATGTAATTAAGAGTTTTAAGTCAGTAATAGTAAACGTATGCAAGTAAGTTAGTATCAGTTAAAGCGTCATGCTGAAAATGCTTCAGTTTAAAATAATTAATAAAATTCTTTTTATTAAAGGGATACGATCTCATCAAGCGTTTAAAGTGATCAAATACTTTTATTTTATTATATCAATACAAGGTTAATACAAATCTCTCTTTCTCTCTCTCAGATTTTACAACATTTTGTTTTTTAAAGTATAGCTTCTATAAAACGTATAAAGATATTGTAGACTATATTTAATAAGTATAAATTATGATTATGAAAAGCTTAGAAATTGATAATAAATCGAAAAAATATTATTGTACAGGTGATAATTATAAAAATATATTATAATTTAGTTTATATAATACATTCTACACGGGGCGTAAGAAAAAAATGCGTTAAGAAGCTTATCGTAACTGCCTATTGAGAGAGAGAGAGAGAGAGAGAGAGAGAAATATGCAGTCACCAACGCCCCCCTCTTCATTCTTGTCTTTTTTTATAATAAAAAATGGTTACTTTTCTCAACAATATATAGAGTTTGCTTAGTGAACAATAAAAGAAGGAAAGGTGGAATATTTCAATCTAATAAGTTCGTTCTACCTTTCTTCTTAATCTATAGACTGTTAGAAGTAAATCTTATATCTATGTCGTGCAAATTACAATATATGTATATACTGTATATAATATATTTTTAACTGGTATAATATTGATTATAGTCATATCTCAGTATTTTGCTTCTCTTAATTGGTTTCCCTAAGTTTCTATTTGTTCAATCTCGTCTTTGTTTTTTTTACACTCTTTATGTTATCTATCTCTTGTCGATTTTTTTGAAAGTAAATTTTTTTTCTTCTAAATATTTTAACTAAATATCAAAATATTGATTCGTCTCACTGACAAGCAGATAAATATCATCGTTTTTCAAATTCCTTAGTACTATTTGCTGACGTGATTGATGGCGAATACTTATGGTTTTAATAAATATTTACTGATTAAATATAGTTAAAACATTTTGTTTTTTTTTTTATAAAAAAAAATACCATCACGTCACTATATCTTAAAGATGACACGAACTAAATTCTAGATAAAACGTTCAAGTTAATATTTAAATGCTTACCTCTTTTATAACATCTACAATTGCAAATTGAACTTCTAATTCTAATCTTTTTTCGATCGTCTCGATAAATTCTTCTTTTCTTTCGCATTGTACTGCACAGCCTAAAATTAGTAGCAGTACCTTATAAACTTCAAAGTGAGCTGCCTCTGTTGAAAGACGAATTAATTACTTTCATTCTATCAACAAGAAGTAAAAATTATTAGTTTACAACTATTTATCAATTCACGATTTACTTTTTAACATGAAAAAAAACTCTCAAAATACAACACAAGATAATAATAATAAAAAAAATAGATAAAGCGAAAATCGTACAAGAAGAAAGTTTCGTCTTCTAATTTATAATATTAAAAATATGTATCAGTTTATTTATTATTTCTCTTAAAAAATTCAAATGATAAGGAAGGCAGTAATTAGTTTATAACCTTGCAGCTAATTTTATCATGGAAAACATTGCTTATCAATCAATAAAAATTAGATACTTAAGAATATATTTTTATTTTTTAAATTGAGCCTGAATTATCTGGAAGACTAATAAAAAATACACAAAAATATGGATTTATTAGCTCAATATGCTATATAAATAGCAATAGACGATACTCTACTTGATAGCTTAAGGACAAAAAATATTCAAAAAGCTAAAAGAAAAAGACAATAACAAAACAAAATGCAAGAAATAAAATGACATTCAAAACAACGTAAGAGACCCTACTAATTAACCCTACAACAACGAACACTACTATTAGCATTCACTTATCGAGGGTAATTAAGGTCGGAAGAAAATTTAGAATCTATTGTTATTAATAAACGAAGTAAATAAAAAGTGCTACCAGCATGAAATATAACAAAAAAAGAATTACGGATGGAATTTAATCGTGCCGAAAGCTCATTTAAATAAATTTCTGAATAGTTAAAAATCTAGACAAATTGCCAACATTTTTTTATTTAGTTCCATTTTTACGGGATAAAAATTTTTCATATCGATTCACGCTGTTTTCTCTACGTGAATCAATATATTTAGATATATTTTCGATAAAGGAATAGACATTTTAGGGCGATAAACTATTAAGAAAACAAAGTATGAACAGCAACTCTTTCGGCTTTTTTTATTAATTGTATAGCAAAAAGTAAAATGACTTGTTGTCAGACTCTTCTCAAACAGAATATATAATCCACTTTGATGAGAACTTGAACAAAGAGAGTTTTAAACAATTCAAGAGTTGTTCTGCACTAGTTAACAAAATCACAAATTGATCGAAAAATTGGACAAATAAAGTAGGTTACCGACAGAAAAAAGCGGAACGAATCAAGTAGTAAAGAAAATGTGTATTAATTAGGGTAAGTGAAGAAAAATATACATACCCGTTTCTGGTTCTTTACTAATGCAAATGATGTTCGGATGAGGCATGACGATAAGCTGTTGAAGAACATCCTGAAAAGTTTAATTACAGATAAATAGAGATTTCCTTTATTGATATACTATGCTGTAGCAACAGATGGTTTCCCAATAGAATAAAGAAAAAATGTTTGTTCAATTCGACCCGTTAAAATAAACAAACCCGTACCTTTGCAAACATTTCACTCACTCGCTAAAAAAAAAATCTCTCGCTCATCCTAAGGCCTATAACTACAGAAAAACTAGACATAATAACTTTTTTATTTAGATATTTAGATATATACGTATTCAGTGTAAATATTTTTGAAAGGACATATTTCTCACTATTCTATTAAGGTAATATAGTGTAAAATACTATAATTAATCGTCTAATAAGATCATTGTAAACATGTAATAAATGCTACACAAGTAAATAAATCTTTAATCTCTCGTACAGTAAAATTTTCAATGAGATATCCATCAAGTAAATATCAATTAGTTCATATTTAATAAATACAAAGAACATAATCTAGGCCTCTGACCAGGGTTAATATTATAATTTCAACAACTTGTCGAAAATATACCCTTTTCTTTCATATTCATTAAGTGGATAAAGGGCACTATACTACTGAAATGATAAAGAAAGAAATTTTTCACTAACCAAACACCAGACACATATCCTAACGATTATTGAACAATTAATAAAGAAAGAGAGAAAGAATTACATTAAATAAAAGCAAACAATAGAAAAACGGAACAGGAAATCGATGTCATCGAATAGTTAGAAGACATAGATTGTAATGTAATACTTTACAAATATAACTTGAGAAAAAGTTGATAAACCACTATAGTGACATAGAGCAAATGTGTTTCGAATACTCTTTTTGACCTGAAACTAATTAATAAACGGGTAAAACTTGAATATTAAAATAGAAACAGAATATTTACATACACATAAATAGATATATATTGAAGAGTATACATAACTATCTATATATAACTTTTAAACTACTATACTAATAACGTAATAAAAGCAGTGAAAAGTCAGCAATACGCCTCTAATCTGGTAAATCTGCAACTGTACAAATAAATAAGTTATTCTACCTTTTTGGTTTTGGGCATATAACAGTGACCTGCATTTTATTTCTTTAAAAAATCTTACACAGAGAAAGTAAAAACAAAGGATCAATAATCGATAATGCTGAAAAATTGAACAGGGATAAACGCTACACACAGACAAGTTCTTTTTTTTTATAGCCCCCGACAAAGCGGACGGCGTTTCCATAGTAATATTGTAAACAGTTATTCGTTCGATAAAATTTTGACATTCTTCGAGGGTTGTCTTAACAAGTGAATAGTTTTTCTATTAAATAAAATAAAGATGTACAAAAAAATCAAAAATCAAACAGAATATTTCCATTCAGTCAACAAAAAATTGCGATAATTTATAGCGATTATGAGTTTTCAATGGCATTCGATTACAGCTCGATAAGGCGTAATAAAGTTATGCGACAAAATCCTCATTCTTTTACGTTAACAGACAAAGAATCTAAGATCGGTTTTCTTTTTTTTATCAATTGTTCAAAGTTATATATGTAAATAATTTAAACTAGGCTTAGATGAATCAAGAACTTATTTTCTCAAACCTGCTATTAGGTAATAAAAGATAAGACAAACAAACCTGATAATAAGTACGAATATTTCTTAAAAGAATATCCCAATTTTGTAGCCTGTGTTTCGGTTGATCGACTTTGATTAATAACCCCTCAGTATTGGCTTTCGGATCACTTTTTTCAAAGAAAATCAATGTAAAAATATTAATTGATGTGTAATTAAGGTATTTTTATTGTTCATCGTTTTGCTATATTAACATATCCGCTTTACCAATTAGGGAATTAATATATTAGGATGTTGATGTAAACAAAATGTCATATGAGGGGCGAAAAGAAATCAACAGTTTGAAATTTACTCATGCTCACGATGCTTTTCAAATACCTTAATCATTCTTTAGTAATAATAATACAAAAAACAACTAACATTTGACTAAGCACGTTATTCAAGAATACACCATCGGATAAATCCTTATATGAAAGAATATCTCCATCAGTAAAAGTTTGTATCTGTACAATCAATATGTATAAACAATAATCAATATATAAATAAAAAAGATTAAGAATTGTTTTTACAAAAACATACCCAAATAACCAAAGGGTTATTCATGATCGACGGTGTTATTAGCATTGACATGTTTTTAATGCATCTTTAGTTCCGAATACTTGCAACAAATAATATTTTGCCAAAAAAAACAACAGCAAACTCATAAACTTTTCAAGGCAGGTGAGTTCTCTGTCTAAACACGTTCAATCTTCGATTTCCTTTCGAAGGGTCAAAATATTTTTTTATTCAATATTCCACTAGTCGTCGTTTCTTAATTTCACAGCTTAGCAAAGTGTAATTTAAATAAAATACTGAAAAAATCAGTTAAAACGATGAAAATCCACTAAAGTTTCATTTGGCGGCCTAGCATGCCTTTCTGCGAGACTCTTGTGCAGAATCTAGCCAATCAGCAACAGTCTTATAGGTTCGGTGTTCCTTTCTCCTATAGCCGGGCGATTTTTAGGCGGGAAATATCTATACAAACTAAACTTTTTTTACCGCCATAATTTAATCATGTCCTCCACGAGATTTCTTAATATTACAAATACGACGCTATTTAAAATAATAATTTATATTTAAAAAAAGGATTTTATCGATTGTTTTTGATCAACAAGAAAAGCGATTGAAAAAGAATGCATTTACAAAAAAGACTTTTACATTGAGTGTTTCAATTTCTGTAATTCTTACAATGGTATATTTAAATATAAAAAAATAGGATGTAAACGAAAAAAATTGAACAAAATGCGCGGTATTTCCTAACATAAAAACGAAATCTTTCACCTAAAAAATTGGTCAAAAGACCGACTTAATTAAAAAGTAACTTTCTTAAAAATTATACCTATAATTTATAAATAAAATCAACAATATTGTTTAAAATAAAACAAAAACATATTGAAGCGAATTTAGTATATTTTTAAAATGAAAAACCGCGCGATTTACAATTCGTTATTTTTTTTTTTAAGGGTTCGACAACGATGCATATTCTGAAAAAAAAACAATACACCACCATTCTCTCAATGAAACCGCGCTTTTTTCCTTGAATTAGGGGAGTCACTACCAGATGAGGGGGCTGCTCGTTTCTTTGTGTCGCTTATATGCCTCGATAAGTCTTCGAGAAGAACTCGTTGGAAGTCATCATTACCACTTCCCGTCTGTGAAACGCCCATATGGGACATAGCTCCACTTAGGCGTTGCAATAGTAGGGCGTCTCGGAACGGCGTCAAATCTGCAGGCCTTTCCCTTCTCTCCTCTTTTCTACAAGGCGCCTGCTGATCGCAGAGAAAGGCGATCAGATCTTCTCGTTTCAAATGACGCCGGCGTTTCTTTTTTAACCAATTCAAGACATCACGTGTTCGATTTCGACTTCCCCTTTCCATCGCTGATTCTCTTGCTTTTTTTGTTTGATCTAAAGCTTCTCTATAGAGGTCAGTTATGGCTGAGGCAGCGGCACCAAACGTTGACCAGGCTTTTTGATCATGCCTCTCTGGATTGCAGCATTCTAGAAAAAATTTTCACATTTTAATTACACTGTCAAAAAAATGTACTCAGTACTTATTATCTTATTTTTATAGATGAATAAGTAATTTGAATAGTCCTATGCAGCTTTGTGTTTACGATATACTTAAGAGTATAAGCACGTCATACGCAATTTCTCAACTGATATAAAAATTTCACTATAAGAAACTAACAATCAAATCGTATTTTCATAAATAATTTAGCTTTACAAATAACCATCAAATTTCGAAATTACGATTACATTATCTTACTAATGTTCAAGTCTACACATTTAATAAGGACCTTATTTTTTTCCAAAGAGAGAGTGCCATATTTCTGAGACTGGTGTAAATACAACTCAGACTTAGAGTAAATTAAAAAGAAAGTAAAATGTTTACTGTATAAAGGCCCAGAGCTTAAAATTTCCAACGTTTCTAGCCTACCAGAATGTATCCATAATTTAATCAAACAAGATAAATGAAGATGGTACATTATAGTGATAATCTAGTCGTTGGAATATGGGAAATAATTTACTATAAATTATTAGATTTATTAAGAATAAAACAAAGTTAATGATAGAGTGTATTTCCTATACAATAGGAACAAGAAGCTTGAAAAATTAGTTCTTTGAAATAAGAATTTCCTTTTTCCATATGAAAATATTATAAATAATTGATTTAAACGTAAGAATCGCTTTGGAAAAGGTTTTATTTAGGCATATATATACATATGCACTCTTGAATAGATTCATCGAAAGCTTATCATTCAAAGCGTAATTGAAAGCTGTAAGGAAAGTAAGCTATTTCTGTGAAGTTTTACTTTCTCTATAAAAGAAGATTATTTTATTTTTCTTCACTTTTGTCCAATATAATATAATTCTCAAACGTACATACTCTAAAACACACATTTTTCCGTTAAGTAGTTTCCCATTAAATGTTCTAGAATAAACATACAACTAGCCAATTTAAAAACTTTCAATAGCTGATTCAAAGAATCAGACGGATTCTAAAGGCTTTTCCATCTGGCTCACCTTCACCTGAATGATATGATTTGTCTATATTTACATATTTACCTCTCTGGTAATTACGTGTTTAGTAAAATCTATCTAAATTTTCAAAAATATTCGAAAACTTTATGTAAAAAATAGGATTTAAAATGAAATTCTCACATGAACCGTTATGCCTTTATGTACCTTACTTTCGCAAGTCCAAAACCTAATTTTAAGCTAATTATATAAATCATAGATCTTACCTTTATACATTAAAGCGATATTGCTCGCTGAACTTTGGAATAGACACCATAATTTTTGTTCGTTCAATTCGTCGTCTGGCGTGCGTAATTTATCGAAATCCTCCTGCTTCCGTAGCCATTCGTCGACAGTTGAACTTTCCCAGTTTGTAAGCCAGCTTTCTGCTGGTTCTTTCTGTTCGGTCATCGCTTCAGTTCTCACTCCGTTTGTCGGTCATTTGACTAGCTTTTAAAGATTACCTTGATTCTTGTGTTTTAGCTGTCCTTTTACCACTTTTCCCCGATGGCTTTCTCGTCTCGTCTTTTCACAGGAAGTGAGAACAATACGCATGCGCGATAAAATGATGCGGGATCTACTTTCGTATATATTTTTGAACAAAGGTATTCGTAGTATCTTTCGTATAGTTTACTTATAGCGTACACCTTAACAATAGGTTTTAATTTTTAATTTAATTTTTTACGAAAATTAATGTATGCAGTCACGTGATCGCAAGGTCTTCTAACACCAAGAGAAAAACCACTGTATTCTCTTTCAAGAGGCCAAACGGGGCTTAAGCCAGAAATAAAATACACATTAAATATGCCTTCTGTAAATTTTGCAATTTTCTTTATAGTTTTATCTGCGATTGACGTTGTATTATCGAAAGCTGGTAAGTGACCTATCATTCATTCATTTTAGAATTATTACTTCGGTAGCACAAATATAAGTACATGTATCTGTTTAAATATTATTTTTTCTCTTATAAAAGTCTTGTTTTTTTTTTATAAATGCGATATTCGGCATGTTGATGTTAGTTTCATAGTTAGTTATAATATTTTTCAAATTTGTTTTCTCTTTTCATTTATCGGATCGTATCCTTTGCCTTATTCTTTCTTTGATGTCACCAACACATATTAGGAAGTGCTACACCTTCTATTTTCTTCCTTTGTTTTGCCGAACAAAGTTTTGTCATATAACGGGAAATACTTATTAGAAATCCCTAATGTGACAAATAAATGATAGATAATTCCTTTAGTAAACATTTAAATAGAATTTTTAAAATCGCATATATTTTTTTATTATTATTTTAACTGATTTATAATATAAATAACTTTGCATGAAAAATGTAAAAAAAAGTAATTTAGATGTCACATGCAAATGTTGCAAGAAAGATAGAAAAGATAAATACACAAGATGTATTTAGTGAAAAATAAACTACTTAATTATAGTTAATGCAGACTGGAAGAACGGTAGGGAGAACATAAAAAAAAGCTGTATTATTATACTAATAATGGGAAATTATTATAATACGGATAAAAGAGATATATCTATCATACGAGATATTTTTGAAGTATTAAATGTTTGGCAAAAGGAAGTGATTATTTGTTATATGTTTTAAACAAAAAAAAACTATTCAGAATATCATTTGAAAAACTATTAGCTCTTTCCTTTCTTCCAAAAAACCTCCATCCCTACACCTCGAAAAACAAAAGTCGTAGTCAATTTTTGAATATAGTGCATGACGGTGCAACGGCGATAAAAAAAAAGAACGCTTTAATGAAACAGAACTCAAATTGGAAGACCTGCAATGGGAAAATAAGTCTAAATATAAGAATCCTTTTTACGTAAAGAAGGGAGACAGTTTCACAATTGGCTGTTCTCTGAGGACTCCGTTCGGCAGTAGTGTTACGGACTATCTTCTCGAATGGCTGGTTAACAACAGGGTGTTCCAAGCAGATTACGATTCTGATTTTGAAGTTACACAGAAAAAAGTTAGTAATAATCTGATAAGCGAATTTTCCCAGCGTGGCATATCTGAGTCGTACAACCTTAAATGTCGTCCAAGAGGATATTCTAATTTGGAAATATCGAAACAAATAGATGCTATATCAAGTAAGTTCGATGCACTTACAAAAATCAAACAGAAAAACAACCAAAGTATTCCCCCATTGGTGTTTATACTATAATAATTAAACAATAAACAATCGGATTATCATCAATATGAATATTTGATCGCCGTCACCGTCTGCTTTCTATTCATCCTTTTTTCAAGCGAGTTGAATAATTCTAGTATAATGGGTATATATATATATATATCTATTCCTCATTATTTATCTAATAAATAATTTTCTTATTCATAAGAATTATGGTATATTGTATATTTTTTTGTACATAGCTCTTTTTTAACATTTTGATGTTGTCCGGTGGCGGCGGCGGTGGAATTGATAGAGAAATACGAATATTAACTATATTATACAATATAAGATTATAAACAAGTGATTTGAGAGAACTACATTTCATTTTTTTCTTTCATTCATTTTTCGTCATTCTACGTTTCACCATCCGCTCATTCCACTTTTTTTTTATAATCAAATTTCCTCTATGCTCTATTATTATTTTTATTTTTCCGAGTCATAAAAGAAATAATATCTTTTTTGAGTCTCTATTTTCCATCTTTTTCTCTATCCCTCAATATTTTACCCAACATCGAAAAGGAAATTACAATATGGTTGTGTCTTATTAATAGCTTTTTTTTTGCTTTATATAATTGTTTGAGAAAAAAAAATAAGAGAAAGGTTTTCATACACTAATTATAAATAATTATAATATAGATATTTGTGGCTTATTGAATACCTAATTAATATCGTTTTGTATAAGAATCGACTAATAGAGTATTCGTTTTCTTCGTACAAAAACGTTAAGAAAAGATAAATTGCAATATTTTTATACATAAACCTGTTTGTTCCATTCTATTGAATAATATTGAATATTAATATATATTTGTATATAATATCTAAATATGTAATAACGTATTTTATTATTGTTTCGTAATTCAAGTAGAAATTTTATTTAATAATCTATATTATTGTTATTATTATAACCAAATTTTTATCACTCACAGTGAAAATTGAGTACAACGTTGATGATCCATTAAGACACAATGAAAAAAATTTAGACTTTAACTGTACTTTTAATGGAATTACTGATGATGATATTGAAGAAATTTTATGGTATGTGAATGGGAAAAAAATAGAAGAAAAAGATGGCAGAATTTACAAAATATCGAAACATGAAACGTATTCTCAATTTATTATAAAACATCCAAAAATATCTGAGGATGCTGGAAATGTTACTTGCCAAATTCAAACAAAAACTGGCAATACATTAAGTGATATAGTAACTGTATCATGTAAGTATTTTTTTTTAGCTATAGCAATTAATAGCTGAACACTCTAAGTAAAGATTATACGATAACATAACAAAAAGTAGAAATATCTCATTATTCTATTGTTATTATTTTGTATGGAAACCACAAATCCATTTATAGAACTAAAAACTAGGTAGTATTAAGAGACAATTAGATTTACACATATTTGATAAGGAAAGAATTTTAAATAACTTTAGAAAACATATATATATATATATACAGTATATATAAATATATATATATTATATTTAGTGAACGTATAAAAACTTATAGATCGTTCTATTGCTTGGAAAAAGGTTCAATGATATTTATTTTTATAGATATCTATTTCTTTTGTATTGTTATTAAACAAATATATTAAAGATTTCTATCGAAAATTTATATTTTTAGATTGTTTAACTGTTTTATTTCCTTTATTCTAGCCGAACCTCACGTTGAATTTGAAGAGGAAAGATCAAAAAATTTGGTTCAAGGAGATCCTTTAACTCTTAAATGTAAGGTTTCGGGCTCGCCTGCTCCAACAAGAATCTATTGGAAAAGTCCCAAAGAACAAATACTAAATAGTGACGTTGACAGCAGAGTTTCCCTCAAAGACTCTAATGCTACTCTAAAGATCAAAGACATCGATTTCGAGGACAAAGGAACTTATACTTGTTTCGCATCAAATAGTCACGGTGAATATAATGCTACGATAACAGTAAGAGTTAAGGATAAATTAGCTGCTCTTTGGCCCTTTTTGGGAATATGTGCTGAAGTTTTTATCCTATGTTCTATAATATTAATTTATGAAAGATCAAGAAAGAAGAAAGATACTGAAAATACTGTTGATGACGAGGCTGGTGATAAATTGACAAATTCAAATGATAATCAAGTTAGGCAAAGAAGATCCTAATTCATTTTATGCAGAAAAACGCTTTCTTTGCTCTCCTTTTCTCCTTAAAAAGAATCTGTAATTTTTCCTTTTTTTTAGTTTCAAAATTAGAAAATTTGTATTGTTTAACATAATCTCAACAATGTGCATGAATATATACGCTCTCTACACCTAACGTATATATAAAGTGTGCATGAACAAAAAACAAAAAACTGATATGTCTTAATCAATATATGTATATATATACATACATATATATGTATACATATATTTGTAATTACCATTAAGCTGATTTTATTTACTCTTCCAAAGTTTAAAAGCAATTTCTTTCAAATGGTAGACTATTTGGTAAGTAATGAGTAAGTTACAGTTTCCTAACTGTGTTTTTTTTTTAACGGAGTTGAATAAGAACAATATTTAACGAAATTAATTCAAGATTAGACTTTTATCCGTTCATATTTCAAAATCCCTAATAGTAATAATGAAAATCGACGTCCTTAATCATAGCCTTAACGAACTGATCTTTTTTTAACAGAAGGTTAAAAGTAGATTTAAGTTTGAATTGATAGTTGAAATTTTTATTAAGAAAAACTCATTGATATACATTATACATAAATATTTATATTTAAAGAGAAAGTTATATTTCCCTTGCTAACCTTTAACGTTTCTTTGTGTTTGTTCTTATTTTCGTTTTATTTTGCTTGCAATTTTCAATGTGTTTTTTGTTTTCTTGCTTTTACTCAAACAAAAATTTAATATACTCATTTTCCTTTAACAGAGTTTACTGAGAATTTCATTTTTTTTATTGAATCTGATAGAAAATGCTTAAATTTCAATTGTTCTTTAAAATATGTATATATATTTATAAATAAACTATAAATATATTCATTTACTGCCTTATTTATAAGTTTCTTAATAATTCGATTAAAAATTGTTCCGTCCATTAATGTAAAAAAGCTTAGTGGAATAAGTAGATCGAATTAATAAGAAAACTTATTATTTTCCTTCTCTTAACCTCTACATAATCATCTGTTTTTCCCTTTTTAGTCTCTAACTCTATATCTCTATCCTTTTTTTTTGGGGAATGTTTTTTTCAATACAGCGTTATTCTGAACAAAAAGAAATCATTGCTATTCTAAAATATACAAATTATTGCAGATATATTTCACACTAAATTTGAATAAAGGAATAATTTATCACCTAATTAGAATAACTAATTGAATTGAAAAGGTTAAAATATAGTTTTATTACATGCTATACACTATATCAGAATGATTTTTAGTTTAAAGACGTAGTTTATATAGACTTAGAAGGACTTATTTAATGAAATTAAATATATATACCATATACAGTATATACATTTTATTAATTTCAATATGGTAAAGCGCTATGAGTTATTTTTAAACGAATTAATACGCCATACTAGTCATATTTTGACACTTAGAAATTAGTTAGATTGGTAAAGAATAGATTTTTTTCCTAAAATTTACAAATAGATGAAAATAGAAGAATGAAATTAAGACCACTTTAACACTTTCAGGTTAAATATAGGTAGAATAGTCACTTTTTTATCTTGTTAATGAATCTTTAGCACTATTTCCTAAACTCTCCGACCTCTTCTTGTTTTTACGAATAAATTTTAATAATTCTATACAAATGAAGAGATAAATATATATTCTTCTTTAAGGTTAAACGAGTACAATTGAAAATAAATATATAGAATAGATCTAGAGGTTATTGAACTATTTTCTAATTGCGAAATAGCTTTGAGATAAATTCTTTAATTTATATCTTTATATAGTTTATTTGATATTTTTTCAATATGTCGGCGTTGAACTTTACTGACATTAAATTTTTCTCATTTATCAATATATAGGCTGGAGAAACGTTGTTTAATATGAAACTTACGCGATAAACAGTAAAAATGAGTGATGTTATAGTATTTGATTAAAATATTCTAGAGAGATTCTTTTTCTGTTTTTGATACGTTAAGAAGATAAATACTAGTATTTGATGAAATATCTAGGGTTCTGCTTAAATATTAGGTCAATGCCTTGATATAGATTTATGATGTTGAATTATATCTGCTATTTAAAGTATGCTCTTCCAAAAGATAGTTGGGTACAACTATACTGAAATTATTTTTATTGAACGTTGGAAAGAAGAAAGGGACTGGTTAAAGCTACATACTAAAAATACTTTAGAAAATGGATAATGAGAGAATCCGGTTCCGTTCGGAATTGCTTCAGGAAGTAATGAAACATGGGGGTCTTTTTGTAGATATTCTCATTGTTCTCTTTAATAAACCAATTATAAAGGTAATTAAGGCAATATCGCAAGAATATTGATTATATTTAGAATAATAATTAATAAACGACATTTATTTTACTAAGTTGTCAAAAATAAAAGTAATAAAATGTCAAAAAATATCTCATTTCTCAGAAAATAGATAATTTTTCTTTTATAGAATTCTCTCTGTTTTCCATTACTTACCAGTCTAATATATAACTTTGACGTATGTAATTATCTAATTATACATCATATACGAATAGCTAAACTTGAGACGTTAAATAGAATAAAGAACAATTTTTCAAAAATGTTCCATTTGAGTAATGTACGAGAAGACGCAACGTCAATTAAAATGTAAAAAGCGTACGTCACCTGCATTGTCTTCTTTCTCTTTTTTTTTTACATTCTTGCACTAAAAATAATATTGTTTAAGAAAATATGAGTAATTAATTTTACAGCCAATCATAATTTATAGGAGGAAAAGCTTGAAGAATAGATATATTTAGGTATTCTGTTATCGTAATTGGTTAGTTTAGCTTCTTTTTTTAGAAATCATATGTTATTTTTTTGGAGCATAAATTATTTTACTCTAAACAAGACAAAAAATAATGTAAACTGAGATATAACAACTTAGATATTCGTTAAAAATATTTTTTCGTCTTGTGCTGCCATCTATCGAGAGAAATATTTTAATCTCAAGTTTTTTATTTCGACAATAAAAAGAATTACTGAGAACAGGTTTTAATAGGCTTTGGCTTAGGCGTATATTAAAGAAATATTGCTTATATAAAATCATCTTTAAACTCTCTAATAAAGTAGATAGGGTAGATATAATATTGTTGTTGATATATACATCTATACTAATCAGTATAATTCGAGTAGCTTAAAACCAATTTACCCTCATCTAATTAAAATTTAGTTTGTTTTCAGCCTACGGCGACACAAGTTTTCTAGTTATAAATAAAGAATGATAGAATAGAAAGTATTAAGAAGAGACGAGGATGTTAGACAGGCAGATAGACAGTCTAAGTTAAACTGTATAAGAGATTGAGTGAGCGAGAGAGAGAGAAAAAAAAATTTCCCAGTACCGTTCGATAGTTCGTTCCTCTGCCTTATCTAGTAAGGCACTCGAACTGATAAGTAAATAAAGCGTGACGAATGGCTAATATACGTAAGACATTTTTTTCATTCGAAGTTTTCTTCATGTAGTAAACCAAGGCATAAAGAAAAGTACTTCAGTAGTTTTTATCATAAAGAAACTTTCTCCATAAATCTGTTTTTCAATTCATACGTTAGCCTTCTATACTATTCTGTATATATTTTATTTAAATGAATAACAAAATTAAACCGGATGTATTTGACTATCCTCGAAGCTTCTTGTCCCTTGAAAAAGCCTTTTTTTTTTATTTAAGATGCCATAGCTTTCATATTTCTTTTATAAGCTTAGGATGCGTACTCTTTCCGATGAATGCGGACAAAATATAATTGAGAATTAGCTAGGCCACCCAGTCTTCTAGAACGAATAAAAGTTGAGGAGACTGTAAAAGACTGTATGTTTTTATAAAAAAAACATTTATATAAATATATATATATATATATATATTGCATTTATTTAGTTTAGTTATCTATAAATGAAATGGTCGATCTCCTTTCTAGCTGACGATTGACGTTTCTGTCAAATTTGATGAGTTTTCTTGAAGAGAGGATGGAAAATTGGTAAAAAAATAAAAAATCAGCTTGCAAATTGTTTATTAATTTTATCATTTAGACTTTTTTTCAGTTTGTTTGATTTTTACGTCGGGCAAGTCGAAGTTTTGGTTTTAAAGTTAAGCCTAAATATTTATCTTAGACGAAAAAAAATTAGAGTTAATCTATAAAGAGTTCAAATATAACCTAAAAAGAAAAATTACTGTTCAAACATTTTCCATTTTTATTTTTTTTCTACGTTCTTCTTCATTAAAAACACCTTTTATAGCTTAAACTTATCTTCAATCGGTTTTTCTTGGATTTCTTTCTCCTCTTAAGATTATAGACCAGAGCGACATCTGTTAGATGAGGATTATATAACGTATTATATAGTAATTTATCATATTTATCCGGATAAGTAAATAAGGGTAAGCGTCTACAAGGGAAGGCCTGTATGAAAAGTAAAATATAGAATGATTTTCATTTGGGACTAGTTGTCAAAAAAAATCAGTTTTTGATCTGTTTTGTTTTATGGGTGTCGCACAAGTAGAGGAGCTAGATAATATCTTATCTATTGCGGAATTATCGAAATTCTTCTCTATAAGCGGTCGCATGTTATATTACACATCATACTTTATTATTTTCATATAATTGTGAGCGGGTTATTTTTTATATACATTGTATGTTTGGACGGTTAGCCTCGTGGCTTTCTTACAGAGTCTAATCGGTTTATTTTATAAAATTTGTGACAAATGGACATTAATGACATTTTAGCTAAAATTACATTACAAAACTGGAAATGTTGTATTATTTTATATGATAGAAAGTAAATTTTTTAAAGAAACCTTGAGAACTCCTTTTCAAAGAAAAAAGGAAATAAAAAATAAATACAAAACTTTTATTACTCTTCATTTATATATTATACGAGCATAAACAGTTCCTTTATCGTCCTTTCCTCATACTCTTTCTGTTTTATATATGCCGTCGTTATATTCCTTGTATTATGCTCTCTCTCTCTCTCTTATTCTTGTCCTTCTATCCTTCTA